TTAGCTTCTCACCATTATTACTTTTTATGCTTTCCCCGTTAATTTAGAAGCCAAATGATATTGAGAGGTTAGTCTTAATAACTTGAACTCTTATCAGAAGTAGAAACATTGAGGCCTATAAACGTGGGCATAAACAGCTTCCCTAGTGCTGTGCTTGCTCTCTCTAGCAGCCTTCAGATCAAGTCCGGCAGCTTTCTGGTAATGCGTGCTCATTAATCTCAACACACAAGTATAATAAAGGATAAGACAAGACAAGCCTACATCAAAGGCTCCCAGCGTACAGTATCTGCTGGCAATTCAGCCCCCACAGCCTCCCAGCGATGCTCCAAGCCCCGCTGAGGAGCCCCAGCCCCGTATCCCAGCCACAAACCCCCCTCAGGAAGCCCTCGGCCAGTTGACCTGTGGGACCTTACCTGTTGGTCCTTACCTGTAGGGTCTTTTGGTGCTCAGCACAGCTACAGCTGAACGAGCTGCCTGGGGCCAGCTTCCCAGCCCTGGAGGAAGCAGGGGAAGGTCCCACGTAAAGCATTTTAACAGCTGCGCTAGGACTTCTGCTGTAAAATACACACTCACCCACAAATCTTTACCACAAGTCAGTATTTCAGTGAAAGTTCACCAGATCAGGCTTTGCTAGAAGCATCGACCAAGGGCTGGGCTGGCTGTAGGGGGCCAAGGAGACCGGCGTGCTGCAAAGCTACACCACAGATCGCTCACCCATCAAAGCGATGAAGGTTTGTGCACACACCACCTACCTCAGTAAGATTTGGAGCAATACAGCAGCTTATTTCACCTCCCCACCCCAAAGGAACAGTCTTAAGGTACAGGAAGCAGCAGCAGAGGGAGCCAACTTAACCTAAAGACAGGGAACAGTGGCGATCCCTCCCTCAGGTTAGCTACAGATTCCTATTTATTAGTACCACCTTTGCATGATCTGAAGAGCAAGCACTATGGGGTCCCTTGCTTCTGATTCAAGCTCCTTTTGCAGCATCCTACCCCCTCTTCCAGTAAGTGAAACGCTGAACAGTTACCTCTGAACATTTATTTAATCTATTTACATGGTATCATTGTGGAAGGAATGCACCATGCAACCAACAAAATCACAGAAGAGTCGCATAAACAATAGAAATTGGGCTAATCTCTTACAAAGCTGAGTATCACTAGGTTATCAAATCTCTCAGGTATAAATATCATGAGGTAAGGAATACTTAAGATGAGGCACTTAAACAATAACCCAAAAGGTAATTAGTGTACAAAACTATAAACAGGAACGGTTACTCATATTGCCCTCAATTATATTTTTAAATGATTTTATACTCTACGTACAGTGTGTTACATGCCTTACATCCTCCACTAATGCAAAACATTACGGAAGTATGAAGAAACCAAGTCATCGTCACATGCTGTTAAATATAATGCAGGTAGCTGAGGATCCTGGACTATGCAGTGATACAGATTTAAAAAGTGCCTCACAAGGAATGTTTTTCTATACAATCCCAATTTTCTGTTTGGAGAAAATATCTATGCTAACAGAAAGTTAACTTGGTATTAACATATAAATCTCCCAAGCCAGAAAAGAACCACCCTACTGTGTTCAAGGAAGGAATGCCAATTAGGACAGGATTTAAGCTTTAGTGGGATTTATGGTAATTAGAAATGTAACAAATTTAACTTTACAAAGAAATTAATTATGCCAATTAAAACACTTAGCATGTTTGACTGGGAATTTATACAGTATTATATGTATACGGTGCTGATCAATGCCCGATTTATTAAAATTACTTAAGGCCTGCTTCCAAGAAAATGTACTAAAGTGGTACAGGAATTCCAATTAAGATGCAAAATTGATATTTGCAATAAACATTTCCTTATCAAGACCCAGAGACGGGAAAAATGCCCAATAAAAGCAATAAGGAATTCATGTTCAGGTGGGGTGCACAAGCGTATTTATCCCTGTAACTGCACAGCTTGTGAGAGTCTGCCTGTGAAACAAGGTCGGTATTTTCTAATATTAAAAAATAAAACAAAACAACAATTTCAAAACACTCGAGAATTCTGTGCCAAACAGCTTGTACCAGCACGCCATTTGTGACAAATCTGCGAGTTTTGATCCTATGCTTGTTTGAGGCGGGAGGGAAATGGAAGTTTTCAAAATGGGTGAAGTTATTCCTGTCTGAGAAATACCTGCATTTGGTGCAAACAGGGATCCAAAGTCCCTTCAGTCTTGTAACAGATAGCTTTGGATTTTTCTTTTTAGATAGCCGTGAACAAGCCATCTATATTTTACTTATATTTAACATTTTGAACTCTCTAAACAAGTGTAAGCTACATTATGTCTTCTGTTTCTAGATAAGCCAGTCCAGTTTTTAGGTTTAAAATGGAACAAAGAAGAGCCACAGTTACCAGAATGACAAAATTAAACTTGGCAAAAGTAATGAATTTTATTTACAAATACATGTATGAGGATTACAACAGAAACACACTAGTGAAACTCCATCTCAACAAAAGCAATGATTTATTGGTAATGGCATTAAATGAAACAGATTGACAGTCTCTGGCTATGGTCAAGCAATTATCCAGGAGTAGTAGATAAAAGTGAAGATCTCGTTTGATTGCAATAAGGCTTTCCAGTGTCTCGCATCCTAGTGGCTCTCTCCTTTTTTGCCAACTACCTGATAAGAGAAAACAACAGAAAGAAACAATGAACATTTAACCAAAGACATGTCCCCATTTTTTTTTTTTTTTAATTAGCATCAAAATAAATGCAACATTTTCAACTAAATTAGTGCATTTAAGCATGCGTTGTAGCACTTGCAGAAGCTATGAAACCCTCTAAAGAACTAAGAGGGACACAAGACACAAGAAACTTATCTTTAGTATTAATAAATAGCAAAACACCGGTCTCACTTGAGAAGAGTTAGAAGACAGTAACTGCACCATAACAGACCACGTTTAACAATGTTATATACCAAGCATTCAACCTTAATATGCTTTATAAAATAATACAGCAAAAAGAGAACCACTGGGTGCTCCCATGATAAGTTTGTTCATTTCCCTTGGTACACACTTCACTGAGAACATTTACCTTATAATGCAGTTCAAACCTGAGGAGAAATCTGGATGTCATCTGATTTTCAGTCTGTCTTTGTCAAAACATTATTCCTTACCAGGGCAACTTCTACTCTCCAATTCTGCAAACTCCACCAGGAATCAGAGTCATCTCAGTACTTCTCATTTCAGAAAAGATTACCGCTGCCACCAGACTTTGGCAGCCAACAGCAAGTGCAAGACCAGCACTCTACATACTGCCATGCAAGCTTACAGGTCGCACAGTTCATAACAGAAGGGTTTTCAGTCCCCTTCATTAAGATAACTGAATGCAAGATCCAGAGAGCAGAAAACAATGTGATTCTGGACACTTTTCTGAAAAGATTCAAATTAGTTCCAGTGCTCTTGCAGATCCTAGAAAACACCCATTTATAAGTCAAACAAAATTAAAAGATAATAAATCTTAAAAAGTTTGGGCTTAACAACTGCAAGAGACCGTGGGCAAAGCAACAATTCCCAACTCGTTGCCATCTAACCAAAGCAGCACTTACAGACCTGACGTAGTTTTGTCAGGATAAGCATTTTGAGGATCTCTATTAACGGAATATAGAATTTCCAATTACTAACACTGAAAACCAAGGAGTTAAAACCTTTTCTGTACTGACTCATATAGCAAATATGTTAATGATTAATTACCTCTGCAATCAGGTGACAGTATACCACATGGGATTCAATAGAGAAATACAGAGTTGTGGGACATGACCCATGGCAAACCAAAACCAATATACCCACAGCTCTGAACTGGAGACTTCTCATGGACTCACGGAAATTCTCTCTGATCCTGCCCTTCCACTTCTTGGAGGAAGATTTTTTTGGGGGAGGTAAACTATTCTTTTGGTGAGCTGAGTTGTAACCATCACAAGGTAGCTGAGATCTACAAAAAGCCCTTTTAAAGGCCCCTTTCATCTCCAAGGAACCTTTGACCAGGAACGTATCACCAAGCTGTAAATTCAACTTAATGATTAAGGAAAATTCCACTTGACAACATGAGGGAAAAAAAGGAAAGAAAAAAAAAATCAGAAAACCAGTCACTAACATTAAGATCCAATTAATCAAGTTAAAAAAAAAGTTAAACTAGTCAAGAAGCAGTATTTATTCTTTGTGTTTCCAAGACAAACTGTGTTTAGACACAGATTAAGCAAAGAAGAAAAAAAAGAGAAAAAGAAAAAATGCAGTTGAAAGATTAAAGATTAGATGTTAGCAAGTGTGTAACTCCAACAAAAAATATTGCTGTACCAGTCTGAAGTTGAAATTGACAACTCGCCCATGTGTATTATCTGTGAAAATTAATCATGCTGATATGGAGATTTTGTCATCACACCTCAAAGAAACCCATTTTCTGACCACCCCACTCTACCTTCCCAAGAAGAAAATGGACATAGGAACTTAAATCAAGCAATCATCGTTATTCTTTTATCTGTAACGGATCCATTTTCCTTCCGTTGACAGAAGGAGTGGCCATCTAGTGCACTTTAAGATACTGCTTACAGCCTGAGATTCCCATGTAATAAGAGAACGTTTTGAAGCAGGCTTTGCTGATACCATTTTCCTAACCACAGCCTGACAGCAATAAAAAAAAAAAAAAGAAATCCTGTGTGGCCCATTACAAATGGTACAATGGGAAACTATCACTGAGCCTTCTGGAGCAGCAGTGGGCATTTTTGTGTGCATGGTTTTGTTTTCAGTTCATAAAGAAGAGGTCAGACAACTGATGTGTTGCTGTTGGAGTACCCTGACGAGGCCACCTTTGTACAAACACTCACCAGCTCCTGTGTCTGCCTTCAGGAGGTTCCCTAGAGCCAAGTGGGGGACAGTAACGGGTACTTGGCAGCCCCCACTGGCTTGCATGCTACTTACTGAAGGGTCACACCAAAGAACACTAGATTGTACTAAGATTAAAAAGCCAAGTCTTGCTACAGCATTTCACAAACTACATTTCAAACAGCTTTTACAAAATGCAATACAGGCTGAAAAATGAGTTACAGAAAAAAAAAATTAAAAGTATTACATGTTATGCTTTAAAAATGTCAAGTTTGGGATAAAAAGAACAGAAATTTTGAAAGACTGAAAGAGAAGTGCTTAAAATAAGATTTGGATGGAGGAAAAAAAAGAAAAAGATGAGTTGATGCGTCAGAAGGTAGAGAAGGCTGTTCCTGATTGCAGAAGGCGCAGAGATGGCTCTTGCATCAGTGCTGAGATTGTGGAAAGGGTGAAAGAGATGCTAGATGAGCAGAGGGAGCAAGGAAGGGAGTAGTGCCACACCACATCAATCTTATTATTACTTTTTAATTTCTTCTGCATTTTTTAGTTCTTTAGAAATGGGAAGTTAAGCTGAAAAACAAACAAACAAAATGTTACAAGGAAAACAGCAGCAACAGAGAGAGCAAATAAGTAGTTCCAGAACGCCTTGGTTCAGGAGGGGGCCAAAAAAAATCCCACCACCTGTCCACATCCCCCGGCCTCAAAACTGAGCAGCAATCTTTTATTTCTTAGTACCAGAAGTGAACAAGAACTATATTGACATTAAGTTGCACCATCTTAAAAAAAGAGTTTACAAGTTCACCACCTGATTCACAGGAATCTACCTAAGACTAAGCTATCAATCACAAAAGCACAGCACCTGCACCTTTACCCAACACTTTAGCTGTCTATCCCGTGAATTAGCTTGACTGAGAAGCAAGTTTGGAAGCAAACTTCACATGTAAGCTACTACTTCTCAAATGAAATCTCAAATCAAGTCTCTACCACAGTAGCTTGCATAGCTTAAATCAGACCACATGTGGCCAAGAGCAGCGGTAATTCTAGTGTTAAGGACAGTTCTTTTAACAAAGGCATACCTTTAAGGCATGCTTTTCAAAAACTACTTCTCAATGTTAAATGTGCATGGGAAGGGGATATTTACCACAAATCTTTTGCTGTTTGGGTGCCCTTAATTTAAGCAGAGCAAAGAATCTCAGCTCTCTCCCCTGTGCTTAACCCAGTTAAGATCTACATTTTTTCCCCCGTCATGTTCCCCTTTCCTGTCACGCCAGACTTCCCTCCTCCCCAGAGGTTAAAAGGAGCAGGATACACACAATATACCACAGCAAGTTGGAAATACCTTTTTTATATCCAACTTTATTCACCAAATGCTAACTACACGTATGTCAAAACTAACTTAAGGCTGAGATCCCTACCGAAGGGCCTGCTTAACTTCACCTGCTTCGTACTCCTCGGCACCGCTTCTCAGAGTAGGTGAGCTGCAGGTTTGCATTTGGCAGTATAAGTTCTGGAAACAATACTTCATTTATATTAAACACAAACTGTCTTGCTGATCAAGAAGAGCTGATTTTTCCTGCAGCCCTGCTGGTGTTAGCAGAGCACCGCAAGCAAACACAAGTTTTCCTTGGCTGTCTGAAGGACAGGGCTGCTTCAGCTATGCATCTTAATACCTGTGTGCTGAGCAACGAGCTGCTACAGCTGAGCATTCATCCACATCCCACCGCAACTGGGTATCAAAATACATCTGCCTGATCCTCTGCAGAAGTCATTGAAACCAGTGTTTTGTTTTAGATTTTGAAATTGAACACATCTACAATCATCTGAGCAGCAACGTGATGAATCATAAAACCCCTAACTGGAATCACACTCATGCCTGCTTTTTAATTGCAGCCCTTCAGATAACATTTTACTGATTCTTACAAACGCTTCTCAGAAATATCGGGAAAAAAGCATTCCCCCATCTCATTAATCATGCTGCAATACTACTTCTATCATGACTAGAAGAGAAATATCAACAGAACAGGCAGACTGAGAGAAGGAAGTCAGATAGTTGAGAGCAGTGAGGAGTAGGGTGGGTAACTACTGAAGGAGATGAAAAGAAAAATAAGGTTTCCCAGTTAATCTACATGCCTGAATATAATTAATGCCCAACACTATATTAAGGTTTCATAGCTGACAGGATCAGTGGAAGAGAGGAAACAAAAGTTAGAATTCCTAAGAGCTCTGTAACTCTGACAGACTACACATCCCATTTAGCATGATAAAATATTTTAACAGCCTAATATTAAAACTACATGTTCAGGAAGCAAAATAGGACTGAGAGGATTAGCTACCTCACGAGCTAACAAAGCAAGCTCTTCTACTCATGGTAGTTCTGATCAGTTCCTTAACGTCCTGATGTTACCAGTGATCAGTACCACACCTGTAAGGTGTGAGGTAGGTTTACCTCTTGTGGGTTTGTGCTCCCCTCCCCTTCCAGTTAAACATAAGTCACAAATCACACTCCCTGAGAGTGCAAACATTCACCGGTGAACTTCAATGAAACCAAAATTTTAACTAACATGGTATTTGCCAGGCTATATAGCAGCTTCCAAGCACCTACGCTGCACCTAGAGCAGAGAGAGACTGACAAATCCCCTCTACGTACAGTGCACAGATGAGACCCACACTACTTTAAACTTCTTTATGGGGTTGGGCGTGTACTTAGAGCCATAAACCAGCCCAGGCTGGAAGGGACCTCGTGAGATCACCAGCTTCAAGCCTTCACGGGAAAAGCGTGCTTAGATGAGGTTATCTAGCACCTTGTCCAATTGCATCTTCAAAACCTCCAGTAAGGGGGTTTCCACCACACCCCTGGAACAGTTGTTCCAGGGATTAATTGGTCTCACTTTCAAAAAAGAATCTTGTATCAAGACAAAACCTCTCTCAGAGCAGCTTGTATCCTCTATGTATCATCAGTTACCAAAAAAATCAAATCACTATCTGAACATTCAGATGGTCAGGTTTAAAGAGTGCATTTGTTTGAAAACAAACTCTCAGTACTTTAGAAAGCAAAACTAATTTACAGAGTTTACAGAGAAATGAAACTGAGACTATTATCAGATACTGAAAATATCAGTGTTAAGAGTGCTATCCTATCCTCTTCCCCAAAATACAGAGAAGTAACACAGATAACTCATGTTATGTTAAACAGTAATGACAATTCATTGCAGGGTAATGCCCTATTATCGTAAGTAGTTGGAAAAAAAAAAAATGTACAAAAAATCCTCAACCATGTAAACAGATTTTAAATAAAGCAACCTATTTCTAGTATTGGATGAACCAGAAGTGCTCCATTAGAAACATCTCAATTAGGTATCCAGTTAATTTTAGTATATTAGAGCAACTTTTTCAGTGACTTCACATTTCAGTGAAAGACAGCAAAACCTGTTAACTGATTAACTTTATTATTTGCTAAGTTATTAAGTTTTAAATGTAAAAGTTAAGATCATTTTTAACATAAAAACTCAAAGTATGTGAAGTATGACAACCATTAGCATTTTTAGCCTTCTGGAGTTATAGGCAGATTGTATAATAAATTCCGTGGTGCTTTCAGTGTTATCGGTCACCTAGACAGAAGTTTGTAGGCAGGGTTACAACAGCAAATGTCTTCCTAAACAAGCTAAGTTTTAAAGCAGTTTACTAATTTACTTTAAAAAGATATTAAATTTTGAAGAAAAAACATAAGTAGGTTTAAGGTTTCAATACTTTCAAACCCATTTCACATTCTCAAAAAAAAATCAAAACAATTGAGAATGCCTTATTGCTCAGCATTGTGGGTCTAAAGTCACACCGTTAACAAGTTGTTCACTTCTTCCTTTAGTTTTAAAACGAGCAGGTATGTTTAATGTAATGGCCACTTTGTGACCAAAATCTTTTTTGGATCTGAATTTTATATAACATTGCCCACTGGATAAAATCTAAAAAGTCCTTCACCAAAGCAGAAGTCCAATCAGTCACAAGGAGGCTCCATTTCATATACAGGCTTGCTTCTCTACTTCCTGAACACCATCAGAATGCAAGTTTCTAAATCAAGGCATAAAACTCACAGCTGTTAAGAAACACTGCCTATAGCACACGTAATTTGAAAGTCCCTTGTGTTTTAAATAGTTGGTGTATACATTCTTACCCGTATTTGTGTTGTGGTGGTTTTTTTTGGTTGTTGTTTGCTTTTACAAAGCTGATGAACAAGAATTTATAGGTAGAACCAAAGATCATTATCTGTAAGATAAATCTACATGTTTTGTTTGGGATGCCAAATCTACCTTAAGTCATGGAATTATAACAACAACCAAGTGCATTTGTTCAGTCAACCTATTTTTGAGATCATTTAGAACATTCGTAAGTGCTTTTAAGAAAGAAGACTCACTCGCTTGAAGTCATTCATATTTGTTGCTTGGACTGGAGTTCCAATAAACGTGAAGTATGTAATTCTTGTTGTCTCTTCGTCACCATGATTAGATTGGACAAACAACTAAAAAAAAATCCCAGAAGACAAGAGCTAAGGTAAACAGCCCATCCCTGAATTAATACATAAAACGTTAGCCTCCCAAGATTTTTGAACCACCCCAGTGAACATCTTCTGCAATTATAAAGGCTCTGTTACCCTCTAGAGAAGACTCTGTCCTCTTATTTCAAATGATGATTATATAGAATGCTATTATTTTCCCAGCAGTTTGTTTAAAAACCCATGGAGCTTGGATATTTCTTGCTTCCTCTTCCAATCTGAGACCACACTCAGCAACTGAAATGCACTGAAATATTCAATCAACTATGAGACCATAACTTGCAAACACAGAACTCAGACCGTGAAAAGCATTTCCTTGGAACAGAATTCAGGGGTTACATTAGATGAGCAGTTCAATGCAATATTGCAGGAAATGGGGCTAATGCAGACCCAGGGTAATAATGTCAAGAAGAATGCAATTCCAGCATCAGCTTTGTCATGGTGGATATTGAACTAAAACCCATATATAAAATGGGAGAGGAAGAACTGCACCTGCATTTAAGAGTCACAAAAACCTTACATGGAATTTGTGGAAAGTCTCTTACAGCAAGAGGGTTAGAGAGCTCATTAAAAGACAAAGGTGATTTGATTACAGCATTTAAGAACACTTAAGAGGACCGGGTATTGGGTTTTAAGTATCAAGCACTTCACTTGATACTTACAAGTCTGTCATTTTTGCAATCAGGCTACCGATAAACTGGACTTCTTACCTTCTAAACTCCCCAAACGAAGACAAGATGCCTTTCAAGAAGGTGTGTTAGTAAAAGACAAGTTGTGTTAAGCAGCGCACTAGCTCATGGAATTAGGTGATATTCGTCCCTTCCATTCTAACTCTCCTGCCATGGGCAGGGACACCTCCCACTAGAAGGTTTTTCTTTCTAATATCAAAATCTTCCCTTTTTTCAATCTCATGAACAGATGAAAACGAACCTCATCACACATACAAGGTCAGAGACATCACGTGCATACGGCCTCGCCTGACCTTAAATTTCAGAAATCCTTTGAGCATTAACCTACAGTATGCAATCAGTGAAGAGCAACTAAGAACACCTGCGGTCAAATCAACAAATGTCACAGTGCTTGAGAACTCTAAGTTTTCAGGCTGCACAGAGCTCAGAGCAGAAGCTTTACTTACAGTTACACTGTTAACATTCTGAAATTTAACATAGCGAAGCTGGATAATGCCATCTTCTTTAATATCATCTGGTGTTAGCTCCAGGGCTTGAGTTGGTTCACTTCTCTCTGCCTCTTCAAAATCCATAGATCGAGGAAGGTTGATAAAGATTTTTATATACTTTGGACCTTGTCCTGTGTTAAGATATGGAATTGGGATTCAGATCATTATATATGTTCTCAAAATGCTACTAAAGAAGCCCTTGCTTATCACAGCATCTAGGTACAGCTCAAGTTGCACTACTTGCCTACATTTCAGTGACAGAATTCCATACGAGAAATCCAATGAAATGTCTAAAAAGAATTGGGTTTGGGTTATGTCATACCTGAGTATTTTCTGTAATTGCATAAGATAAATCAATTAGCATAAAAATTAAAATATACCGTTCACTAGCTCTTACGTTTAATTCTTGAAAAGAATGTAGGTTCTCCTTATAGCATGTCAGAATACAGTAAATATTTATATTTGTGTCATACCAATGCACAACAACAGCATAATATTACTGTGAGATCAATCTGTTATTTATTTACACCAAATTTACTGAAGCTGCTATGGGAGTCACAGGAGGCAAGAGGTTCTAGGGACAAGCATCATTTTTTGAAATTTAAGCTAACCATGGGTAAAGCTTCAATTCTAAGGATACGATTAAACAGACATTTCACTCACCATTATCTGGCCCCTGAAGTTTCATAGAATAAAGTTTGACCGGTTGACTAAAAGCTACAGTAATAAGCAGCTGTGGAGGAGAAAGTTGCTGTTAAATACTGTTTTCTTCATCCTTCTAAACAAACATAGCACAACGATTAACTAGAAGTCTGAGCTTGTAACTTAAAATCGAGTACTTACATTCTCTATATTCCACACATGCACTAGTCTGCCACTAGTCATCAGTAAATGTCAGTCTGCTTGGAGTTTCCCCCACAAGTGGATAGAAAACAAAATGCTACAATGATCTCTGTATACCAATTTTGCTTCCATCCACCTACCGTATCCCACTCTTCCTTATACCACTATAGTGATATCAAGCAATCAAGATCTTTAAAAAATGCTTGCAGACCAGACATCACTGAAAGCATCTCACTTAAGAAAAATATTTACTGTACCTGCTCATCGCAGTCTGATTCCAAGTAGGTAGAGTCTTTACGTAAACAATTATCAAATCCGTGCTCATCGCTTTCATTAAGACATTCACAGCCGGCTTTATTGATAAATGGCATTAAATCCATCTGAAAGGAAAAAGAAAAGCATTACTGAGCGCATTAAATCTGCCGTGAACTTATCTGAGATTAGCAGACACTGGAATGAATGAAATTCCCCATTCAACACATTAAGAAACAGAACGCAGAAAACCTCAGGGCTTTTTTTTTTTTTTTAACAAAAAAGATAAAATTAAAAATGCTGTAGCACTCAGATGTATCCCATTCAGAATTCAGTGTTTTCCCACTCAAAGTACCACCCCCCAACACACAAGTTTACCATATTGAGAATAAGCTATTGGGCACAGGGAGAATTTTTCAGATAGACTTTTGATTAACTTCACCTGGCTACAAATACACTGACATTAGACCGGAGCTATGATTAAGCTAGCAGATAAAACAGAAATGGCTTTCCCATCCAAAATAGTTCTCCCTTCTCCATATACTAAACTAACCCAAGTGCAACTGAAGCACAGTAAGCCACTTTTAAATATATATATATATAGCTTCATGATATAAACGAAATCCAAGCACAGGCTGCTGAGAGAATACAAATCACTGCTGGTCGCTTCTCCTAACTATGCTATTCCAAACAAAATAAACAAATAATGCACCTGCCTGCCCTTCCCCTTCCAGGCCCCCTCTGCCTGCCTGCAACATCCAAATGAAGACCCAGCCTGCATCCTGCATGCTCAGTAGATGCGAGGTAAGAAAGGAGGCACGCAGCTGTGCAAGAGGAGAAGGATGCATTCCTGGAGCAGCTGGCAGTCCAGTTTGGGTCAGCTATATTCTAAAACTGCATTCCAGCCTACTGCTAATAAGTCAAACAAAATTCCTGCTTGGCTCATACAGTCCTGAATGCGCTCAGGGTCTTACCCCCATGAAGTAAGATCTAACAAGATTAACTTTTAATAGAAGATGCCATCTCCATCTCAAAACAAATATAACTTTGGAGCTGCATGCTAACCTCACATTTTGCTCTTGCTACTTGAATGATTTTCAGTGTGTCTTGGGCTGCAATCTAACAAGCTGAACCTTTGTCCTGTGACATTCCAGTACCTCTACGCAGGATTTCACAGTAATTATAGATGTGAGTGTTCACATATAAAGTGAAGTGCAATGCATACTGTACAACAGTTAACAAGTAGCTGAACTGCTAGAAATTCAAGTGACCTGTGCCCTTAAAGCTTCTTAAATGAGAAACATTCAGCTGGATTTGCATCCTCCTCACATGCCTGATAGGATATGGCTAGCTATGAATTTCAAATAGTTACCCTCCAAGGAAACCTGGCTTTGCATTTGACATCATTTTGACTTCTACAGACACTCATCACAGCTAAGCTGAGCGTATTTTGAGCATATTAGATTTGCTAATGCAAAGTAACGTGCACGCTACAGAAGCAGCACATAACTAAGTCACATGTCACAGTTCAGCGCTGTGGTGTATTGTATTTCACCTAACTGGGTTCATACTCCTGGCAGAACAATAGACAACCTCGTTTAAGGAGTAACCCTACACCAAGGATTGCTTGGAGAAAACCACCTAAGATGACAGCTCTAGGAAAGTGTTTTGTCACATTAGAGTTCTCATTTACATGTGTTTGGTAGTACAGCTGTCAGATCGGCTTGTGATTTGAAACACACAATTGCTTGAGGTAACAGGAAAACACGCCGAACACGGTGAAAATAATTTCCTGAGAGCACCGAGTATTTCTAAGGGGGTGGGTCTGTTATTGAGCGATTTTGATTTTTCTAGAAGACACGTACAAATCACACAGTGATAAATTCAAAAATACAGATTTTTAAATTATTTGAAAAGTAAGTTTCTCCTCCTGTTATTTAGATGTCAGGTTTAAAAAACTATCTAGATTAAGAATATATATTTACAAGTGTTGACTTTTCTTTTTTAACTTGTGATCTACTTAGTTTGTTATCCATGAAAGCTGATCAGCGATTACTGCAGTTGTGCTTAGTACCCCTACAGAAGCAAAATGGTATTCATTAAGCATTAAAAGGAAAGTTCCTCCAGCAAAGGGTTTTAGTTTGTTTTTTAAAGAGATAAGAAAGAATATTTAAGAAATGGTGGTGCACAAGGAAGAAAAAAGGAAATCCATGAACAACAAATCCACCTAGCAACACATGAACAACAGTATTTAAGGACCAGCTAGAGTAATTTTTCAAAGTTTTTGACAACTATGTCTAATGATGTATTTTTTCCACGGAAGACTTTACACTTGGAAAAGCGTTTTGGGAAAACAGACTGTGATGTCTGAGAAGGGGTAAGAAAAAAGAATACACAGCTGTAGTAAAGTCTTCATAAAACGTGAAATTCATTATTTTAATCACTAAGGGCTATGCCTAGAGATTTTTCTTGAAACATTTTTCAATTCTGTTACATGCACATATTTAAGTACAGTTAATTTTTTGAATTTTGTCTGAAAAAGGAAACCCAGACGGGTGATCTTTCTAAAGCTACGGGAAGCCTGTAGTTTTGCCTAAAGTAGCATTGTTTGATGAGAATATGTTTAGAAAGGAACACATTTTCAACAGGTTCAAGTTGTGCAAGTGTTAGAGACTTAAGAGATGCATACATATCCTTTTGGAATATCTGTATCTTCATTGTTTCCAGGATCATTCTCCAGGTGCTGCTTAATTTTTTCTTCTAAACCTACAGCATCTGCTCCTTGGTATTGGTCGATTCGCACTTTGTTTCGAAAAAACAGAAACGTCGGTGTTGCTGATATATTATTGGTAGCAGCTGTTCCCTAGAATGCATAAATTAGTTAAAGTGTTACCTAACAGACCATTACCAATATCAGACAGAAGTGATGTTTTCAGCTAGATGACAACACACACAACACATTGATCAAGATACATTAGCCCCCCCAAAATCACAAACAGTATTTGCTATTTTACAAACATCTCCAACTTAAACAACCATTTTAAATTCATTTAAGTTCTTCAGATCCTCCTAATCCTTCATACATTTCGGTGGTCTCTGAATGGATTTCATGTTGTCAGTAGATTTGTTGGCATGCCATGAAAGTCATACTATTTGCTTGCTCTCAAAGGCAGAAGCCTGCTTCATTTAACACTTCACAATTCTTTACACTTGTATTTCTTCCCTTTCTCAAGACACTTTCACTGCACATCCTGGAAGTTGCCATTCTAGAAGATGATTTCCATTTGATTTCTACCTGTATGTACATTATGCACCCATAGCAGCTTCCCCAAAGCTTTCCATAATTAAGTGTCATTTGCAAAGCATTGATACATCTTCATTCATCTCTCTCCCACTTTCATTTGCAGTAACCCAAGAAACTTCCTTTCTTTTTTGTTAACGACCCTTAAGTCAATCAACAGCTCATCACCAGTTTATTACTGAATAAAATGAGGAATATAATTATTGCAGAATTTGTTCTGAAAGACTTGCTCTTCCTAATTCATACTGGTGTTCTCTCATTTTAAACCGTATTATTTAAGTAGCACAGGCAGCAGAAACTGTTAAACCATTAGTGCAACACTTGAATGAAAGGTAACACAGTGGCAGTTGCAAGAATACATTTTGAAATAAAAGTATAGTTCATTCACATCTCTGCACATAAGTTACTTGTTATTTACCAACCACAAGAATGGATACTCTTACTGTACCATTTGAACAGCTTTCCTTCAGTTTCTCATTTACTCTATTTAATCTTCTTTTTCTCTCGCTAAAGAAAAAGTTTTTGAATACCAACCTGGCACTGATGCACATCCACTTCCAAAAAAGTTGCCTGGGGATATTTGTTACTCAGCGCATTGAATGCTGGAGCTATCCTTAAACAAGGGCCACATCTGTAAAAACAAAAATTTCAACGATTATTGTTTTGCTTTGTTTGTAAGATACCTGCCCCACGCAGACTTAGCGCATTCACGTTCTTACTACATCCTTGGTTCATGTTAAAATAACCTTCCTACCTGGCTGACAGATGGCGAGCAATCCTGCTGATACAATTAAGAATGACATTTAGAAACACATCACGAAGTGTTAATTCCCACTTCCTCAGACAGTTTCAATGTCACATGATTAGCTGCACCTATTAATTAAAACAAACTTTGTATTTTCCATCTAATCTGTTTAGCTCCAGCACCTTTTGCTGCAGAGTAAAATACTCTGAAGTAAAGCGACTTTTGTGGGCGCAAAGACTTAACCGCTTCTCCTGATGCAGTGAAGCATGCTCTTAGTAGAAAGTTAGTACTAGTGATTCCTGTAGCTGTGAAAAATGTCTTCAGTGAAGTCTCTGTGTGGGACTTGAAATATTTAACAGTATATTAAACCCTTATCAGGAATCGCAGGATTGTTACTGTGATAAACTTCATTGACTGTAACTGCAGCCAGCTACCACCGACCTAGCTCTATGGGCTTGGCTGAAAGCACATATTTGTTAATGATAATACATTTGTTAGGGATAATACATACACGAAGCGCACAGACACAGCTACTCTGACAAAGCAACGTCCTTACAACAAGTGAAGCTGTAGAAGAAGCAATTAAAAAGCAGAACAGGGCAAGACTCCCATAGCAGCGTATCAACATATATGTGAAGCATAGAGCCCCGCAGTGCCGGTGTGGCTCTGCAGACACCCGGGGCGCTGAGGCAGCCCTGCCGGGCCCCCCGCCGGGCCCGTGTGGCGCTGAGGGCCGGGCCGTGAGGCGCCGCGGGGCCGTGAGGAGGCCGCGGGGCGCCGGCAGCGCGCAGCGGGCGGGCTCCCCAGGCGGCCGGTGAGCCGGGCGGCCCCCCTCCCTCCCGGCCGCCCCGCACTCACCCCCGCATGGTGAACTTGACGACGGCGAGGCGGGAGCCGGCGGCGCTGAGCTCGGGCTGGAACTCGGCGTCGTTGCCGATCGCCTTCACGCCCCCCATGGCGGGCGGCGGCCCCGGACCGCGATCTGCAGCGTCACGGCGCGCCCGGCATGCACCGCGCGCAGCGCGCACGCGCGGCACGCCCCGCCCTGCCCTGCCGGGAGGGGCCGCCGCCATTTTAGCTTGGGGCAGGCGCGAAGCGGGGGCGGCCATCTTGGTTTAGGGCAGAGCTGAGGGAGCCCGGTGCCCCGGCTGGGTTGTACAGCCCCGGGGGGCACAGACACAGCCCTCCGCCCCATGGGGCTGCACCCATGGGTGCCAGCACCTGTGGGACCCACCCGCCAGCATGCGTGGAGCATGAAAGCACCGCAACCCGCTGCTCCCCAGCCTCATGGTTGTGCCTGGTGTGCTCATCCTGCTGCTGGGCACTTACACACGTTGTAACCCCCTGTCAGGCACTTACACACGTTGTAAGTCCCCATCAGCTACCTACACACGTGGTAACTCCCCATCAAGTACTTACACACATTGTAACCCCCTGTTAGGTACTTGCACACGTTGTAACCCCCCCGTCAGCTACCTACACACATTGAGATCCACCTGAGCTGCCTCATTAATGTGTGTTGGTGAAAAAAAAGTCACGTTTAAAGTCATAAAATGAACACAGTCAGCATTTTCATTAGTCCCTTAAGAAAGCTTAGTATTATCTGTAACTCAAAGCGCGTTCCTGAGCCTTTTACAATAGCTAGGACACACCAATCACATATTGTTTCTTGTTTAATGTTGTGATACAGTGTGGCATGACTCTGACCACCATTGCCCTCAGGAATGTATTATTACCGGACATCTGGGGAACCGCCACTGAAAACAATCCCTGCTGTGAGCAGGCCGCTGCTCCAGACCCAGCCCCGCTTGCCAGGCGGGGGTGATTTTCGTGTCTCTATGGAGATAGATCGGTGGATCTCAGCATTACTTTTCCAATGAAAATATGCAATATTAGGGTTCGTTCAAATGTTTCTGTGCCACAGTTGATCTGAAATTGGTTACTAACTAAGAACGCGGAGCTGCTTTGCCTTTACCCATGGGTTATAGGGACCTGGGGGTGTGGAACATCCCAACCCCACGCCCCCAAACACCACACAGGGAAACAATTTGCGAGCTGATTCCACTCTTTTAATTGCTTCTGGATAAAAATAAGCGCTCTCCCTTATTTCAGCCGCAGAGATAACCGTTTATTTCTTTATTATCGGTGCCTGTGCCCCGGCCGTGCTGAGGGGCGGCGCCGCGCGGTGCCCGCCCCCCCCCGCCCCGTGCCCTGCCGTCAGGCGCCGCTTTGCGACAGCCGGGCCGGGCCGGGCCCGCTCCCCCCGCGCCGCCGGGCAGGGGACAGGACAGGAGAGGAGGGCAGGGAGGTGAGTGAGGCCCCCCCGGCACCGCTCCGCCGTGTGAGGTGCTTTAAACCCCCCTTTCCCAGCCCTTCTGCCCGGCCGGGCATCGCGGGGGGGCGGCTCCGTGTGCGCCCCGCTGGGCTCGGCTGTGTGGGGTTATGGGGGGGGTCTGGCGGTGGTAATGTTGTAGTTTGGGGTCCTGCGGTGCGCCCCAGAGGGGCAGCAGGGGGGCACAGGGGGTGCGGGAGGGAGCCGAGCCCCTGCCGCACTGCGTGCAGCACCGGGGCTGCCCCCGGCACCGCCACCCCCGGCCCCGCCACCCCCCTCAGCGCCTCGCAGCCTCACTTTGCCTTGGCAGCTGCATTATTTCTTTCTAATATTGAAGTGGGAACAGTCAATGATCACAGCGAATGCACCTGAAGGTGTAATTAGCCGGCCGCTGTCCTGCCTTGCGTGTTTATCCGCGTGTGCATGCGTGGCTGAGTGGGGATAAACCGCAGGCATCGCTCCCCAGGTTTAATGCTCGGTGCTTGCCCCATGCGAGCTGGGATAATAACAGCTTGTTGGGTGTCAGACTGAACGAACTCAGCATGGCAGATCGTGTAGAATCATAGAATCAATATCCCGAGTGGGAAGGGACCCATAAGGATCATTTATGGCATTTGTGTCGTGCAGGCGTGGTCCAACGTTTCTTGGACTAAAAAATAAGGAGTCATGTACTGGAAAAGTATTAGCCCTTAAAAAGTGCTCTGAGACTTGTCTGATGGCTTCGCAAAGAGGAAATTGTGCTCCGAGCAGCGTGGTGGCCTCCGTGATGACACAGATGACCAGGCCAGGAGGATGAGGAAGAGCAGGGTGAGGAAGAGCAGTGGGTGAGGAAGAGCAGTGGGTGTTACCTCGGCTGGAGCCAGCCTCTGACACTGAGTCCCGAGGAGTTCCCGTGCGCTCTGCTGGGCAGACAGCGAAGCGAAACGAAAGCCTCCTTGGGGAGGAGAGGTTGATAACCAGAGGTTGTGCACTGCGGGGACAGGACGCCGTCCTGGGCAGCTGCTGGCCCATCTTGTGCAGGGCTTGGGAGCATGGCACCTCCTGAGGGGCCTCCCATCCTCAGTGCTCTGTGGGTTTCTTGGCTTGCTGCTAGGTTAAGAAAGCAGAAATACTACAAACTAATTCCCAAAGCCCCTCAGCACTCCTGACAGACCTGAAACAAGCGAGATTTTAACTAGCAGGTGTCACTGACCCTTTGTGTTTAATAACAGAGCGGTTTGTTTGTTTACTTAAAAGTGTGAATGTGTAAATATTTGGGTTCCAACGGTGAAACATTTCTGTAACTGGGTAAAGCACTGGATTTTCTTCTTCCCACCTCAGCATCCTTTTTTTTTATATATATATTTTTAAATATTAGGCGTAAAAATCACTGTTTGCTTGAAAATATGCAACCCATTTGGAAGGTTTGTGCTGATGTCATGGATGGCAGCCAGCCCTGTGCTCGCTGGTGACAAATCTGAATAAGAACAGAATTCAAACTGCGCTGAAAATACAGGAAAATGACATTAACACGTGGTAAACATCGATAGGGAAAGGAATGATTAATTCTTACCCCTTCTCGTTGCTTTGTTTGAACGTCAGCACGGGTAGGTTTATTTAAAAGCAGATGTTCATTTGTGCCGAGGCTGGGTGCGGGTGGCAGGTTGCTCACCAGCTGCACAGCCTCCTATCCTAAATTACTTCTGTCCGGGTGCTGCTTGTTCTGTAAAACCCTCATCATGGACTCTCTCTCGGGGTAAATGACTTAATTCTGGAGTCTTCGGAGGTTCAGCGACAGCTCTGGCTTCTCAGGGCTGAAAGTTGTGGGAAAGCTTGCAGAAGGTGCAAGTAAAATGAAGTTTCAGAAGCAGCTTGCGTGCACATGGAGGGAGGGTTGGGGGGTTTTCTGCCTGTCTTTTGGGGTCACGTAGAAGGATAAAAGTAGATGGCAAGGCTGGACAGGCAGAAATGCCAACCAGTTTGGAGAATACTGGGGGTGGTTGCCCAGCATGAATTGTGGCAAAAACCCGAATTAAGTAATAATTGGTCTTTTCCCATATCCCCACATCTCTGTATTTATTGTGTCTTTGGCAGAGGTAGTTTGAAAGTGAAGCCAGGTAACTCACAGAGGTTTTTATGGGCATGCACGATAACACGAGATCGTTCGGGTTTTGTATGGCTGGGGACCTCGCTGCGTGCTTTGGGTCCGTCTGTCAATGGGCACGGTGCTTATTCGCTGCTGTAGGTTGTCATCACTGATGTAAAAAAAAAAGAGATGCATCGATCGTTGACAGACGTAAGCGAGGCTGGGTTTTTGCCGGGCTGTGTTTGGCGTTGGGTGATGCCAGAGAGCTGCTCGTCTGCCTGGTCCCAGCTCTGCAGCCGTAGAAATGAGCCCCTGGTGCTTCCTGAAAATGAAGTTTCTGTTGAAGGCTTTGCGATACCATAGTAAAAAACTGGAAGGAAAGAGGTAGTTTTGCTTTCTGCTCTTTCTCCACAAGGGGTTGGTGTTAAATGCTCTGAGAATTATTCTTCCTCTCTTCTCTACAAGTTTGGAAATGGGGGTGTTTGGAAGCCTGTAAAAAGTGTCCTGCTGGTAATGTTTGCAGTGCTTGCTCTCGTGTTTGTCTGCATGGAAAGTATAAAATCTGTTAGGTGACTTCTGTATTACTACTTCTGACTGTTGCGTGATGTTAGGCAGCCGTGCACCTTTCAGTAAGGTCGCTGTATCCTTTGCATCTTTCAGGATTACTGTACGGTTCCATATTGTCAGCACCCAGGCTGGGAACAATTGATTGGGCATTGCATAACAATTAACACTGTGCTTACGGGCGGCTTTTACAACTACTAATTTCAAGGTAGCTTCCAGTGTGCCATAATAGAGAGTGGGCATGATCAGGGGTCTCTATTTATATTTATTTATTAATTAATGGCTCTTAAGTAGCTTTTAATACCTGTAGTGCGATTGGATGCAGTGTACAAGTACGTGATGAATTTTCCATGGGCATTACCAGGTTCCACTCCTCTGGCTGCAGGGATTGGTTGCACTTGAAATGCAGGCAGAGTTTGTCAAAATTAGTGTAAAACTGTGTTCTTGGAGAAATTTCAACTTGATGCTTACGCAGATGAGATGCAGCATTAGTTTGTGTTGGACTCCACATTCTTGGAATAGGTCTTGTGCATGCCTGATACCTGGGTCGTACCAATGATGAGTGAAGGTAACTTTAATCCCACCAGTTTCATTCATTAAATTCGTGCCAGGCTCTTCTGACAGAGGAGCAGGTTTGGAAAGTGCACGGTGAGCCAGAGGAAGCTGCAGAGCCTATTTTTGACAACAGGTCCTTGGGTTTGCAGATGAGGAAGTAAAAAGGATGATTTGGGGCAAAACTATTCACGTACGTTGGGAAATGCTGAAATGTTGAAAAGTATCTTTGGCAAGTATCTTCTTTTGTAAGAAAGCAAACTAGTGAGGTGTAACCCCAGCCCATTCCCCTGGGTTTTTCAAGTTCTGGTATGTTTTTCCATCCCTACGTGAAGGTGAGCACCTTCCCCAGGGAGGGAAGGGATAACTGGGTGCCAGGTGAAGAGAGGGCGTACCTGCTGCTAAGTGCAATTAATCATTTTGATTGACTTGGCAGGTGTGAGAGCAAAATGGCAGGGAACAGCCTGGTGCTGCCCATTGTGCTGTGGGGTCGGAAGGCTCCCACCCACTGCATATCAACGCTGCTGCTAATGGATGACGTCTCCATGATCGTCACGGGCTGCCACGACGGACAGATATGTCTCTGGGACCTCTCTCTGGATTTAGAGGTAAGCCTCTGCATAATTTTTAATTTTCTGTGCGCTTTAAGCGTGTATCTTTGTTGCCAAAATGATTTAGTCTTTGGTATTACAGGGCAGTATCCATTCTGCTCTTCAGCTCTTGTTACACTCCATTCATTTTTCCTTTCTTCCTCCCTTCATAAGATGAGACCTGGATGTGACATCGTGCCCCCAGTAGTGAATATTTCAGGTCAGAAAGAGGCATTTTTGCTCTCATACTCCATTGCTGCTCCTGCAGTAATTTTTAAAAATAATTATCTCCTTTTTTCTGGAGCTAGTCTAAACTTACCATTGCCTTCAAGTGTAGCTGCTTTAAATTGTGTTGTAGAAACTGATTTCAGAGACCAGAGAGCTGTATTTAGAGAGCTCTTTAAGGCTATTTTGAATAAAAGAGCTGCTGATTTCCATGAAAATGGAATGAGGAAAAAACGCTTGTAGCAGAGATAAAGATTGATTGTTAATTGATTGATGATTGATTGATAGTTATACATAGAGCTATGGTATCACATGGCAGCGGCTGCTCTGGAGTTGAAATCTGCAAGTGTTTCTTTTGACTAGAATTCTGTAAATTGCCCCAATACAGGAGTATGAAACTCCTAGAATACATTAGAGAAGTAATCATTTCATGTAAAAATACAGCATGCTTCGGGAAGAAGTTAGGTTGAATACCTAACAATCTCAACATCTGAGTTAACCCCCAAAAATATCTTTATGTCTAATATATTAAAAAAAAAAAACAGGAGAAGGCAACAATTTCTAGGATGGACAAAGGACTTTTTTTTCATCTTTCATCTATGAACGGACTGTATATAAACTTATTTATGAATGTAGAAGGTTGTGAAGTTGCTTGACTGGGGGGGAGAAACTCTTTCTGCAGTACAGCACGGTTTTTTCTTTTGAATCAGGCCAAAGTCTGTCCGTGATCTAAAATTGTTGCTGGCCTGAGTTTTATGCAAAGTACATTTTTTCACAAATTGACACTGCAGTGCTAGGTAGAAACTGTCTTTTCACATAATACAACAGCAGTCTGTGCAAACTCAAGACGATGTCCACAGCTGTGCTAATAAAATGTGTATATATGTTAACATGTTTATATCATGTAAAAGAGAAATCTGGCATATGTGTATTCAAGTTAAGTAAAGTGCCTTTGTTATTTTGCAGTAACTATGTGGTACCTCACGTTTTATTTCCCTGATTCTAGATTAATCCCCGAGCTCTGCTGTTTGGTCACACAGCCTCAGTTACGTGTTTATCGAAGGCCTCTGCTTCCAGTGAAAAGCAGTATGTAGTGAGCGCGTCGGAGAGCGGGTGAGTTTTCGGGGCATTTCTTACCGTGTGGGGCTGTTAAATAATGGAGGCTGAGGGTAGGGGAGAGCTCAGGTTGCTTCCACCTACTTCTTTGCATTCTAACCTCTTTATCAAGCAGTTCTGCTGCAGCTGGATGCTGTTGCTTGTACGTCTGCAGTGGTTTCCACACCTGCTCCTGAGCTTTTCCCCAGGCGGCTGAGCAGCAAGCACTGTGGAAGCTCCCTGCTTGTTCCCACAGCTCCTCAAGGCCAGGCAGCTCCTTATCAAAGCTGGCTGGGAGCCTGGGCAGCCAAATCCCCGCGAGCAGGGAGGATGCAGGCGCTGTACCCTTGTGTATCTGCAGTCGTGTTCTGGCTGACCGTGTGCCAGCCCAGGCCTGGGCGCCAACAAGCAGTGTCTAGGAAGCAGCCCATGGTTTTGTTCCTCTTACAGAGTGACTCTTTTTTTTCTTGCCATAATTTGAGCCTAGTTTAGGTTCAGGCAGCTGAAGTAATTACTCTTGTCAGCAGGAGTCTAGAACAGCTTTTGAGTTTCTAAGAAGGGTGTGAGCAATTCAGTTCCAAATGAGTAGCCGTCCTCTGTGGGCTTGCATTGAATAGGATGGGGTCATCTTTCACATGTCTTAGTGCAAGGCATCTCATTACTACTGATTTTAGCATCTTCTTGAGCCTTACCAGCACAGAGTAATACTACACACACACTATTCCTTCTTAAACTAGTATAAATTTGAACACTTAGATACGGTGTGCATGTATAATTTATTTTTTTATTATTTTTTATTTTTTAGAAGTATGTCCTTGTGCTTTGCTTTGTCAACATTTGCTTTGAAAAGCTCAATTTTCTAATTTGGTTGTCTTTAATTAGGCAAAATATCTGACCTGAAAGTGTTTCCAGAGATGATCCTTACAGGGCATGTATCTGTTACTGAGAGTTGCTGTTTCATTCATGTGTGGAACTTAGCGTTTGAATGGCAGACTGCTGGTATGCAAAACCAGCTAGAAAAGGAAAAAGAAGTGTTGGAGTCTGTTCTTGTATTTGCTTTGTTTTTAAAGGCTGGTTACCAGAAGGCAAGGTTGATTTGATCAACTGTGGCTGAGTAAGAAATTTCTTAGCCTCTGCCTATATAAATGCAGTTGGAGAGATAGAGGTTAGTTTGTATCCAAACAAACCCAGTAAGTTTATTTGACAAAGTCGGGGAACGATGTATTTAAACAACCTTTTAACCTGGACTTTGTGAATAGAGTGTGTCAAAACTTAGAGTTTCTGCCTTGCAGTGATTTCAGTACCAAGTAGCCTTTTTGTTTTGGTTTTAAAACCAAAGAAATTTTCGATGTTTAATGATACACCTGATGCAAGGGGGAAAAAAAGATGAGGCAGCAGCTGACAGATTCTGTTTTGATTAAATTTTAATATAAAATTTTGAAAGTCAAAATGTTGGGGGAAAATGCTGTAAATAAGGGGAAATGGTTCCTTACCCCTCTGAAATCTGAATTCATACATAGCAGTATCTGTAATATTTTCTTATAAGGCAAGTCAGGAAAATAGCTACTGATACTATTTATAATTGGTTGTTCCGTGACTTCATGAAGAGTACCAGGTGATGCTGCCAGCTCCGGCCAGCCTGGAACCTCTGAAAAACCGCCAGTGTTCACTGCCATGTGATGAAGTTCTGTTTTTCTGTAATATGCTTTTCTTCCTCGCTGATGTGGAAAAGGCAAACTAATCCTTGGACACCTTAGGGGATGCAGCAGATGTATTTAATTATTTGAAATAGTGGTGAGAGAAATGAGAAATTCTCAGTTAAATGCTCGCATTTACTTAATATATTGATTGCTCATGATGTATTTTTTCATTTTGCTCATTTCCCTTTGTTTTTATAGGGAAGAACAAGCTGTGTTGATTCAACTAGAATTAACTCAAGTAGATTTTGAGTTTCCTTTACCTAAATACAACTCACATAATCAATAATAAATGTTTCAGCTTCTCCCAGTGTAAATAATTTTTTACTCCTTGGAAGACTGAAGTATTTTGGATGTGGCTGTAATCTGTCTGTTGTGTTTTAGGGAGATGTGTCTGTGGGACGTGAATGATGGGAGATGCATAGAGTTTACGAAGCTGGCCTGCACGCACACTGGCATACAGGTTAGTGCTCTGGGTATGCTTCAGAGCTCCTGCTCTCTGTTGTGCAGCAGGGATAACTACAGATCAGTTATTAAAAATTAAAACAAGGTGTGGAAAGTTATGCAGTATCATCAAATGCCCTAGAGCTGGACATAGGTGCTTTAATTCAGCTTGTGGGGGAAAAAATAATTAGAGATCCTGGAAAGAACGGAGGAATAGGGTAAAACAGAGAAGTACTGCTGGGGGAGGTGGGAGAGGGAGGTTGACCTCAGCAGGCAGGGCTGTTACAGGCTCCTGTCCGCCCCCGGAGCTGGGTGAGCCGTCCAAGGGTTGCTTCAGGCAGATAACAGCAGCTGGGGGCCAGCAAAAGCTCTGCTCATCAGAGCCCAGGAGCAATTTTTAATATTAAAAACTGACATGGAGTATAACTTCTGTGCTGTGTTAATATCCGTTTAGTTCTATCAGTTCACGGTCGGGACTCAGCGCGAAGGGAGACTGTTATGCCATGGCCATTATCCAGAAATTCTTGTTGTGGATGCTACCAGCCTTGAAGTTCTTTATTCTTTGGTATCAAAGATATCTCCCGACTGGATCAGCTCCATGACTATCATTAAATCCAATAGAACACAAGGTAAATATTTTTGTTGCTTTTATTATGGCTTTGCCTCCCTGTAAGGTAATATTATTTTCAACTTCTCAAAAAAGCAGTGCATACATAGTTATATCTAGTCCCTGAAAGTGTGCAGGGAGGAGACTCGTGTGGTTTTGGTATCCTTTCTGTTCCTGTTTTAGCCAGAGCTAAAACTCCCACGGGATACATTTTAGTGCTTTCTCACGAGTAAAACCTAAAATGAGCAGCCAGGGTAGTGCAATCAGCTACAACAGGTTCCAGGCTCACCTGGTAAGTAATTCAGTTCTGTTATCTTCAGTGTCTGCGTGTGCTGAAATCCGAAGGACAAGGAGCATTCCTACAGGAAGAGGCATTTTTCTTCTGGAATAAAAGCACATTCCGCTAGAGTGATAACTTGTTTTCTCTTTGAGAATTGAAAAAGGGTTTTGGAGAACGCTGTGATAGCAAGAGCCTGGAAACTGGCACGAGGCTAAAGGAAGAGGTGCAAGCACTCTAGATGCTAAGGCTGTCATTTGCATTACTAATGTGATGTGTGGCATACATCGAGATCATTTGGCACGCCGGGAATTGTGATTTTGACAAGATATATACATACCGCGAATATTCCTTGTGATTAGTAGCTTTACGAGAAGTGCTGTCATAACATTTTCAAAGCTATTATTGCAGGAGATGTGTTTGGGAAAAGTGCTGATTACAGTACACAATAAAAAAAAAACGAAGACTGCAGAGAGAGGAACTTCTAAAAGTAATGCCAGGCAGTTTAGAGAAGAGGTATGTGGGCAGACAGAATGTATAGCAGTGGATTAGTTAGCGTGGTTTGAAGCAGTACCTGTCCACACATCTGTTTCGCTGGTAGTTTGTGCTCAGGTGCCAAGCTTTAAATTTTTGGCAGCTGTGGAGATGTGCCTCATTCAGCTTCTTCTGTTGGTGAAGCTGTTAATTTCTGAGAGTTTGAGGAACACTAAGAAAGAAGATTGTGAAGGAAAGACACTTACCTTCAATTAGGGCTGACAGCAGTTGTAAACTGTTCCCAAAGGGCTGCTGTGGGAACGCTGAATTGCTGTCTCCACAACATCTAAGTTGCTGGAACAACGGGAAGCGAACTCTGGTTTTAAGTTCCCTGCTACTGCATTTAATTTCACTCTGTGTTTTGTAATCATTTGAATCGTGTTTGTGTTTTTGTAATCAAGAAGTTATCTCTTGGCCTGGGGATTTTTGTCCTGCAGCAGAATTGCCTGGGAAAAACAGGAATTTCTAGAAAGTGCCTAGCAATAGGCGTGGGGGGGTTGGTTAGTGTGCGTGGTTAATTAATGGAATGGATTCATTTTTCAGAGACAGTGCTGGGGAACCCCCAGGCAAGCTGCTTGCGCAGCGTACAGCTAGCATACATTGCCCATGAAGCTTCAGCAGCTTCACAGGCTGGCGTGGGCAAACAGCTAGGCGTAAGCAAGAGGGCTTTCCTCCTACAAGAGAAGCATCTTGCTTTTGGAAACAGTGATGAGACAACCCCTCGTGTCAGATGTACTCAGATATGCAAGTGTGTACCAACATGAAGACATTCTTGTATTTATCAGCCTATTTTTTTTCTCCCCAGAGGATACTGTTGTAGCAGTTTCAGTGACTGGCATCCTGAAAGTATGGATAATAACCTCTGAAGTGAGTCGCATGCAGGTGAGCAAAGGCTTCTGAATTAGTGACGTTTCCCCAAAATCTTAAAGGACATACCACCCTCAACTGTTAACTCCCAGATTTATTTATTTTTTTCCATTAAGTCCTGCTCTGGTGAAGAGAGAACATCTGTTAATCCTTTTTCCCATTCTTCCTGCTACCTGGAGTATCATGGGCTTTATCTTTTTCTAAATAAAAATAAAAAAACATACTACCAGCAGAAATCCTAATCAAGATTATGTTCTTTGTTTGGTATTAATGGAACTTATTTCAAAATTAATACAGTAATTAACTTCTACAAATCTATTTTTTTATTTGTGCCATTTAATGGTTTGTGTTAATGATGTGCAAGTATTTTTGTCTATTCAGTTTTAGTTTTTCTTCTTTGAAAGTCCTGTTCCTTCCTGAAATTATCTTGTACCTCTCACAGGCTTTTGAGATCCAAAGTGAATTTAGCAACAAAAGATTGTTTCAGTAACCTTTAGCTTTCCAAACCGATCCAGATGCTATGCTGTATGCAGAACTGATAGGGACAAATTTTATATTAAAACCTTGCAGGGTAAGCCCTCATTAGTTGGAACATGATATTGATAAATACCTGTTGACTCTGCATAGTACAGTGAAAGGCATGAAAGTAAGAAACTCGTAGCTAAACAGGAGCATGGTCTGTTTGGGGTGGTGGGAGCCCGGCAAGAATGAAATGTGAGCTGAATGTGCTTAGTTTCAGCTGGCTGTCCAGAAGAAAGGTAATCCACCAAGAGTGACGGTGCTGAATAGGCACCGCTAATCTGTCCAGCTGGGGAATTTGTTAGACTTAAGTGACAAAAGAGGATGCCGCGTGCTCTTGCAGATCTCCTTATGAGGAATAATAGAATAAGAAATGTGACAAGGGCTTGGTTTTTCCTTAGAAGTTGGCCATCTGGCACCTTATGAAATCACATAGTTCCTTTTCCATCACGTTTTCTGTCATGTTCTAAGGTCAGTTTGAGCAAGGAAAAAAAAATCAGCTGGGTGTTTCCTTGTTACCTGATTTCCATACACGTTTGCCTGTGTAGAGACTGCCAGTTCCAGGTGCTGGGTGCAGTTTTCATCTGGACAGGCTATCAGAAACCACCCTCAACATAACCAAAAGAAGGTTACGCTGTCATTTGCACTGAGGTTGGTCAATGCCCAGCACCGATGGGGTTGCCCCTCTGATGCCCTAGCTCAGCAAAGGGTGCAGGGCTGGAGGGATGAGGTCCCGTGCTGCCCGCTGGTGCTGGGCAGGATCTCAGGAGAGCGTGGTCAGCGGTGACTGAACCTTCACCTCTAACCCAGTCTGTGGCTGGGGACCTGGGAACGTGAGCTTGTTGACATGAGGAAGGAAACAGCCTTGTGTGCTCAGCAGTTCAGCTCCTGCCTGCTGACTGCTGCTCAGTACTCACACCCGATGGGGCTGTGCACACGTGCTCTTCAAATAAAACTTACAGCCTCCTGGTCGGTGCCATTTTTGGCTGTTTCTACAAGCCACTTTCCCATCATTTCTTTAGCTCTCTTCTTAACAGATATGTTACTCTCATATCTGTGACAGTCTGCAGGCTTTTTAAATAAAATGGAGATAATTTAATGTAATTACTTTGCCTGTTTATTTTTTTCAGGATACCGCACCAATATTTGAAGAGGAGTCAAAACCTATTTATTGTCAGAACTGTCAAAGCATTTCTTTCTGCTCATTTACCCAGCGGTCGTTGTTGGTGGTGTGCTCCAAGTACTGGAGGGTAAGGAAAGCTGAACAAACGCTCGCTTATTCTCACCGTAGCACCTCGTTTAATTAAATTGCCAGTAAGACATTCAGATCAAGATGTCCTAAATCCTTTTAATATGTGTGTGTGGAAACTGCAATTAGCTGCTGCCTGGGCAGTTTAATCTGTAATTGGTTGATGGCTGATAGACTTTTCTGTTTCTTTTCAGGTTTTTGATGCTGGAGATTATTCCCTTTTATGCTCGCTCCCTAGTGAAAATGAACAGACCTGGACCGGTGGTGATTTTGTGTCAGCTGATAAAGTCATTGTGTGGACAGAAGATGGACAAAGTTTCATATATAAATTACCACCCAGGTACTCAACAATGAAATGCTCTGATTCCTTTTATTTTTTATTTTTTAATTATTTTTTAGATTAAAGCATGAGACATTTGGTTTTCTTTTTACATCTTTTAATATGTGATATGCAAACATTTCTTTGTTCTGGGTGGAGATGCAGTTTTATCATATAGAGCCTCCAGTATTCTCACATAAGTCAGACAAGAAATCCTTTGTGACCTTCATGTGCCATCACAGCATAAAGAAGTATGCAGATCTACCTGATTGTCTGTTGGAGGAATACTTGAGTTTGGTGTGGCTTGGTCCTGAGCAAGAAGCCAAATGTTTTGAACTCGGAAACTCTGAGCTCTTTTGAGCTCTGAACTCTGAACTCTGAAAATGCAGTGTTTAAGGGCTTGGATACTGTTTTTGCTTAAGAATCTAGCATATATTTAGTTAGCTATTGATAGAGTGATCACTTCAGTCATACAATACATTTTATTCCTTTTTTTTTCGTTCTTAAACCCAGCTGTCTACCAGCTAGTGATTCGTTTCGCAGTGATGTGGGGAAAGCAGTAGAAAATCTAAATCCTCCTTTATTGTACAGCGTATTGGACAGAGCAGATAAACAGGTAAAAACACGTTTCTTTGGGGTTTTCATTTATGGTCAGCATTTCTCCTTGAGAGAGTTTAAATATGCATACTTCATGACATTTTCTTCTCTTTCTAAGTAGACCTTCAGAATGTCCTCTTTAGCTAGAGAAAGTAGCCGTTTGGAAGAAAAACAGATGTAATTTCCCTGCTATTTTGTTTCTTTGTTTTGGTTCTTGTTGGTTTTCAAATAAATGCAGAGATTAGTGTATGGTCAAGTGAATCTTCAGTTCTTGTAAGCTAACAGTTTATCATTCATCAGTGCTGGAGCAGAAGTCAAGTCGTGATGTGCATGATGATTAGGCAGTCACTGAGCAAGGGCTTTGAGAGTCACAACTTTGAGTTTGCAAGCTTAGATTCTTGCAAAGTAAAGAAAAGCCAATTCTGGCTAAAATGCTCATTTAACTATACTTGTTTTTATGTTGTGAACTGTATCTGCTATAAACTAATATATTTTGGGACTGTTGTGCGATGTACCTAGTCATGTGTAACTACTAGGTTTAAATAATTGTCTCATTTACAAATACTGTTAATGCAAGACTATTGTATGGATCCTTTTTTAATCGCAACCATTTAAATTTGGGCATTTAAACATGTATAGATTTGATCTACTGTGTTTATTTGTTAACATTATAACTTCCTTTTCTCTTATGGCCACATTCCTTATCGAGTAGTGTATCTCCAGCTTACCATTACAGTTGAAATGTTAACAATTTTAGAATATGTATATATATAGAGAGAGAGATGCATAAAACATATATAGTTATTATATATGCATATTTTTCCCCTAAAACTGTTACTTTTTCATAATTAACCACAGTGTCTTCTAATTCGTATGGCTGTATTTATTCTTCCTTCTATAAAAAAGATAAAGCATAGAATAGCTGTCTTTTGTTCTACTTTCAAAATGTACAGCAGGTTATGTGGGAAAACTAAATATTCAGATTCGTGCATGGTTTGCGTATGTCTGAAGTTGTTCTAATTTATTTATTTTATTTTTTACCAGTTACTTATATGTCCCCCAGTTCACTCGATTCTTCTGCAGACGTAGGGACTTGTCCTATAAGCTGCTAATCCAAGGAGACTCTTCAGGAAGACTGTCTATTTGGAGTATGCCTGAAAATCTTGAACAACAAGATAGTGCAGAAGGTATTACGTAGTTATGTCTTCTTGCTAGGTCTTTTTACGGACATCTCTATTTTGTTCCAGCTTTTGTTGCTGGATAAAGCACTGCTGCTTTTCCTATAAATCCAGGAAGCTTTTTTTTGGTGTACTTCTTTTTTTCATTGCTTCTTTTAAGAGTTGCGGTTACAACTTTTTAATATGTGATCAAAATCTTAAATTTAATCTGAACACTTTTCAGGTATTAAGTTTTAATGGCCTTTTTTTCCAAACACCAGCAATGGTCATTGTTGCCTGCCTACATAACTTCCTTTTGTTGCTTAAATCATATACTTTTCCAGTTCTCTCCCATGTATTGTTTCTGTGTGTTGCTGCAGCTTCCCTCAGGTCAGTGAATCGATCTCCAATATTTTTTACATGGTGTTGTAGCACAGTGTATTTTAACTTTGAAATCTTCCAAGAAAAGCATTCCTATTTTGGTCCATGAATAGTTTTCTTTTTTCTTTTTCCTCTTTTTTTCTAAACAGGACTGCAAACAACAACTTCAATATCCCTGCAGGAAGCTTTTGATAAACTTACGCCTCGCCCAGCTGGGATTATAGACCAACTAAGCTTAATACCCAACTTCAATGAACCACTTAAAGTTACGGCCAGTGTGTATATCCCAGCACATGGGCGTTTGGTCTGCGGTCGGGAGGACGGAAGCATTGTTATTGTGCCAGCAACACAAACTGCTATAGTTCAGCTTTTGCAAGGAGAGCATATGCTTCGGAGAGGTATGCTAATAAGCTTTTTAAAAGCACAGCTGGATTGCAGTGCGTGCGATCTAATTTATTAATTGTTCTATCAAAAACTAATTATTTTTTTTCTCTTTTTCATCCTTCCCCACCCCGTACCCTCGACCTTTCCCAATTCCTCAGGTTGGCCACCTCACCGGACTCTCAGAGGCCATCGAAACAAAATTACATGCTTACTGTATCCTCATCAGGTTTCTTCTCGTTATGATCAAAGGTATTTGATCTCAGGTGGTGTGGATTTCTCAGTCATCATGTGGGATATATTTTCTGGAGAGATGAAACACATCTTCTGTGTGCATGGTGGAGAAATTACACAGCTTCTAGTTCCACCAGAAAACTGTAGTGTAAGTTTTAACTAATATGTCCTGATAACTTGTCTTACACTTCCCATGAAACCTACGGCATCTGTTCCCCACCAGTTGGCCCATAAGCCCATAGGTTTTGAATGTGTTGTTTGTTTTTGTTTTTGTTTTTTTTTTGATAAATTGAATGAACAGAAATAATTTAATGCGTAATATGACACAGGTTTATTTGAGAACCATGGGTTCTCCTTTTTTGCTCAACACAGTTTCCTTGCCTTTTGTTTCCTTTTTTTCCCTTCCCTTCTTGTTCCCTTTTTCTTTAATGTTCTGCTTTTTTTATCCTCTTTTTCATATTTCTATTAGTGTATGTGCAGGAACATGCCTATTCTGGATTATAAATCAAAATGCCTCTAGTCTCTTTTTTCTTTTACTAAGAAATATGCATCAGTATTAGCTAAAATATTTTGGCCTGTAGCATAAAAAAAATATAAATAAAAGTGACAGGGTTGAGAGTAAGTAGTCTGTATTTTATTGGCCAGTAAAGTATTATTTTTATGACTCTTTTGAACTCTACACAATTACTTCCCCTTCAGATTTTAAACATTTGAAAAACATGTTGGTAGAAAATCATTTCCTTCTTCTGGAAAGACTGAGAAATTTCTGGCCATGACCATGAAGTGACGTTATTGGTTCAGTGCATAACATTTTTCTGAGGTAGCGATATCGCGTGGTTATGCTCAGAAGGCAGGATGTTCTCTTACCTGTTTGCTCTTTATGACCTGCAGGTAGTTGGATTCAAGAGAATTTCTGCAAATGAAAATCTGTTCCCAGTGATAACAGCAAGTTTTGCCATAGATTTATGTGCCTGCGTTTGCTTATAAAATAGGTTGTTGATCATTATACTTCGGCCAGTGAAGAAGAGATTCTGAAACTGCCTACCTTACCTGCCTTATGATTAATCTTTATTTTTTCATTTTTAAGGCAAGAGTCCAGCACTGCGTTTGCTCTGTTGCCAGTGATCACTCGGTAGGTCTTCTGAGCCTGCGGGAGAAAAAATGCATCATGCTGGCATCCCGTCACCTCTTCCCTATTCAAGTAATAAAATGGAGGCCTTCTGATGACTACCTGGTAGTGGGATGTTCAGATGGCTCTGTGTACGTCTGGCAAATGGATACCGGTAAGCTTCAGTTCAGACATTGTTTGATCAAAATTTTTAATAATACTAAGTAATCTGGGCAAGGTGCATCTGAGACTTGTTATTTTTTTTCACGCATTTTTTTTAGGTATCTAGCTCTCCCTATGTTCCCCAAATTTGTAGATCAAATACTAAAACATTGATTTAGAATAACTCACTTGTTTTTGGAGGAGTATAGCTTCCTCTGGCTTTTTCTCCCTCCATATCTTTCCTACTTACCTTTAGAGAACAGTTAAGATGTTAGCTGCATGTGTAGTGTCCTCTTAGTTTATTAGCATTCATGCTTCCTCAGCAGTTTTCTTGAAAGCTTGGCGTAGAAATCCAACACCTTCAATCTCCAATAGTTTCTTCATCTGCAAAGTAAAGAATAAGTTTTATTGTCTGCCTGGTTTGTGTTTCCCTTCCTTTTGTTTTTAAAGGGGCTAATGCTCTGTTTAGAAGACAGTAAGAATGAGCCCTAAGGCTTCAGTCTCATGGAAACTCAGGAAAAATTCATTTCTTTGGAAATTAGATTTCTAAAAATAGCTGTTAAAGCTTTACCCGTTGCATCCTGAGGTGTAAATTATTTTTGCATGTTGTTGCAATTATAATGTTCTGCACATTCTGAATTGTTCCTGCTTAAACTAATGCTTTCCAAAACGTTTGAAGGTGCTCTGGACAGGTGTGTGATGGGAATAACAGCAGTAGAAATCCTGAACGCCTGTGATGAGGCAGTTCCTGCGGCCGTGGACTCCCTCAGTCATCCCGCTGTCAACCTGAAGCAGGCCATGACTCGGCGGAGCCTGGCTGCTCTGAAAAACGTGGCACATCAAAAACTGCAGACTCTTGCCACTAACCTGCTAGCTTCTGAGGCATCCGACAAAGTAAGTTCTGCTCTAGCTCGTCTGTTTCTAATGCAGCATCCAAGCAATGTGAAGTAGCTGGTCACCTCTTATAACTGTAATGCTTCTTTTGCATTTCCTATAGAGACGTGGCTTGCAAAAGAAACTAAAATATTTTTTCTTTAAACCTGTTTCTGCCACTTTGAGATAAACAAAACGTGGTATTTTCTTGTTTTTAATATTGATCAATATATTTGCAATGTCAGTATGTGCTTAATACATTAATACCAAGATGTCTGTTAAGAACAAACAGTTTTTATGTTCAGGTGTGTACGTTGGTACTTCTCTGAAGGAAGATTTTTTGTATTGCATGTGAGAGGATGATTTAGGTATTGAGAGAGAAGAAAGAATATCCTGACAATAAAGAAATAAATAGTTTAATGTTTTCAGAACACTGCCATAGCTAGGTTTTTATTATCTCAACTTTATTTATGCTAGGGATTAAAATCTGTAGATATGAGACTGGTGTTAAGTTTCGTTTGTGACCGCATTAAATCCTTTAGCAGGGGTAGTTTTTGCCCAGTCAATAAGGGAAAACAATTACGCATGCAGAAGCAAACCCAAGAAGCTAAAGGTTGATGAAGAAGTAATCATATTATGAAAAATGTGTGCTGAAAGAACCTGCTTGTGTTTGCAAACACGAGCTTGTGTGTGTTTGTTTGCTTGTTTCTTTTGTTTTTCTCTTGATAAATGCAGGCTTCTGATGTTCTGGCAGTCTGGCTTCTGACCAGCAGAGAGCAGCAGAGATCTGCTTCGAGCTCTATTCATTTTCCTTTTTTTTTTTTTTTTTTTTTTTTTAACCTTCCTGCATCCTATTCTGTTTGGAAAAGAGCGGTCCCTTGCACAGGATATTCTTTGGAATGGTGTCACCTTGTTTTTCCAAGTATCTGAGTGTCCAGGCTTGTGTGCACCACTATTCATACCAAATCCTCTGAGTGTCAGTGTTACAGCATTAACGTATATTAGGTCTGCAATACTTGATCACAGCTCTGAAATTCCCAATCTTATGAGAATGTCAGTGAAGCATCTTAGAATGATTTTCATGTTTTATACCCTGCGAGTTTTCAAACTGTGTTCACACAGAGCTTCCTCAATTTGTGAATTAAATCCAAGAAAAGTATAAAGACGGTTATCCAGTTAAAATTTTGAAATACCTCTGATTTTCTTTTATTTTTGTAGGGGAACTTACCTAAATATTCGCATAACTCCCTGATGGTTCAAGCTATAAAGACTAACTTAACAGATCCAGATATACACGTGCTCTTCTTCGATGTGGAGGCCCTGATTATTCAGCTGCTGACCGAAGAGGCCTCGAGACCCAACAGCGCACTCATTTCTCCGGAGAATTTGCAGAAGGCATCTGGCGGTTCTGACAAAGGAGGCTCCTTTTTGACTGGCAAACGAGCAGCCGTCCTCTTCCAGCAGGTCAAGGAGACGATCAAAGAGAATATCAAAGAGCATCTCCTCGACGACGAGGATGAGGATGAAGAATCGATAAGGCAGAGAAGAGAAGATGGTGACCCGGAATATCGCTCTAGCAAATCTAAACCATTAACTTTATTAGAGTACAATCTAACCATGGATACAGCAAAGCTTTTTATGTCTTGTCTTCATGCCTGGGGCTTGAATTCTGTCCTAGATGAGCTTTGCCTTGATCGCCTGGGGATGCTTAAGCCGCACTGCTCTGTGTCCTTTGGCCTCCTGTCCAGAGGTGGCCACATGTCTCTGATGCTTCCCGGTTACAACCAGTCTGTAGGTAAGCCATCCTACGAGGGCGTGGAGCTGGGAAGGAAGATGTCCATTACAGAAGGACTGGGAAAGGGGACGTACGGAGTGTCGCGTGCAGTCACCACTCAGCACCTCCTCGTCTGTCATCTCGCTGGCAAACACGCTGATGAGCATGACGAATGCAACTTTTATTGGAGACCACATGAAGAAAGGCCCGACCAGGTACGGAAAGCACTCCCTTTAACTCACAGCAACTTGCTTTCAGAGTCTCTACCCCGATACAGTGCTTTATTTTGCCAGCCTTTTGGTGTTATGGCAGCCTGTGGTTCCCAGATGATCAGAGTGCATTTCTTCTTATCATGACTAAAGCATTTTTTGTGCCAAAGTAACTTTATTGCTTTTAATTGAGTTATGTAACTTACAAACTTAATATGATGTGGAGTTAGAGTAACATTTGTGCCAGTAGGAATGAGAGGCCAGTTTTGTCCTCTTTGAGTTTTAGTTTTGAATAGATTAAAGAGTAGGTCAAATTCTGAACAGATCAAAACATACAGACAAACTTTTCATCCCCAAGGAGTAAGCTAGGACCTGTAAATGAGATGCATCATTCTTTACAGGATTGCCTTTCAAAGTTGTTTAGTCACACTGTCTTAGCAAATAATCCTCCCCTCCCTCTCTTTTTCTTTTCCTCCCTTGTCTTCCTTCCTCTCCCCTTCATGCATGTTATGTTTAGGCCGCCTCGGCCTGGCACTCCAGAGATGACAAAAGTGAAGGCACCTCCTTCGATGGCAGCAAGTCACGCAGCTCAAGGACAAATTAAGCAAGGTAAAAATGACTTTTCTTTGGAACAATTTGATATGTCATTTCAGCTCCTGACACTGAAGTTCTCACCTTGACTCTCATGTGATTAACAACATTGCTAGCTTCTACATGGGAGGAAGAAGGTTGATGTATGATGTTGTCCTTTAGTAGTCTGCATTTTCTCTTTCATAAGTACAGTGGCTAGGTTTAAGATGTAGAAGAACATGCGATATGGAAAGAGGGCTCACACCCAATGAGAATTGAATTTTGCACTGGAGTAGAGCAGTGAGCAGAGCTTCCTCCAGGTGGTGGGAGCACACAGAAGCTGTCCTGCGAGGGATGGAGGAGGAGGAGGCAGCTCCTCCCTGCTTGCTCTCTAAATTACAGAGCTGCTGTTTCATGCAGCAAATGAGTCGATGCCAAAAATGAAGTTAGATGTGTGTAACATCACGGTGAGGCCACTTTTGTCTTAGTGCCCAGCTCAGGAGCAGGTGCCCGTTTGAAAGAGCGGTGCGGCAGCTGGGGAAGCCAGAGCTCCCCACACCACCTCCTGCAGGCTGGGCAGGGGGCACGAAGCCTGCACCAGCAAGGGGGGGTTGGTGGGTGGGGGGCACGTCCGAGTGTGAGCTTGGTCGTGTGTGCCTCCTGCCTGATGAAACAAAGAGGGAACGTGTACATCACTGCTCTTATCGCCACTCCTCGGAGGTTTTCTGGGTGTAAGGCCAGAATATGTGCATATAAGTAGAATGTAGGGCAGAAGAGCAGTGTTTTGTGTTTTTTTTTTTTATCCCATTATGTGTTTTATTTTTCACTAATTTATAAAGAAAATATTGTTCGGACTCATTTGAAACTTTCTTCCTTAATTACATTTAAAAAAAAATAAAAAATCAGTAAACAACTGTTATAGTTAACTATTTAAACTTTGTCTTTTAAAGCTACATAAACTTTGTCTTTTAAATTTTTTTTAAAAGCAACCATGTGAAATGGTTGCATTTTGCAGACTACAAATGCTTTTTCATTGTGATATTTTATGGGTATTTATCTTTTGTATTTCGAATATCCTTCACGTACATCCTTACTTATATCTTTAAAGCATGGAATTGCTCTTGTGCTAGAAAGCTGGTAAGCACAACAGGTAACTTCATCCATCAACTCTGTGACTTTCATCATTCACATCCAAAAAGGAGGGGAATTTGTATCCCAGGAGGAAACTTACTCATCAGCAACACGTGTGTGTATTCTTTTGCTAATTCATTTTTGGTGATCTGTGTTTGGAAAGGGCAAGTCAGTTTCAGGAGTGATGAGCATAAAGCTTTTCTTTTCATTATCAAATTTGCTGCATAAATAGAGAAGCAACAGTCAATAACAAAAAGTAGAAATAAGAATGAAAAGTCAAGTAGAGCTGTTTCAACAAGTGGACTTTTTTTCCCAGCTGCTTGCTTTTTCTTCGAAAGATTTGTATTTGAGAGGTCAGGATTTACTGAAGATGGTGTCAGTATGGCACATTCAATGCCAGACAAACTATTTCGCACAGAGGATCTGTTTTTTGTTTTTAAGGTACAGTTACACTGGGGTTATCCTTCCCCAAGTGAAAACTATGCAATTTTTCTTAGAACTAGCTTTGCTGATCATGGTGATCAGTTACCCAGTAGGGAATGAAAAACAATTGATAAAATTAAATTCTGTGCATCGTCAAAAATATAGAAAAATACTCTTGTTCCTAAAATTTTTTTGTGTGTTTTTTTGTTGGTTTGTTTTGTTTTTCCGATGTTTGGTGGCATGTCTTGCATGCTCCTGGGGAGAGCTGAGTTTTTGTTTGAATGGCACCCTTAGGTCTTAAGTTTACCTTTGCCTCCCAGCTGTGTGCTACTTCCAGCATCTCACCACTCATAAATTACTAGTGCTTATTCTTAAAAAATCAATTAGTACAGATACAATTAATGCGTGTTGGGACATGCTTGATCTCCATCTCTTTGACCTGTATTTGTCCCGAGATCAGCAGCTCTGGGGCCAGCTGCTTCCATCGCAGCGATTGTTAGAATTACTGACACTTGCAGGGGGAGGACGACAACGGCAAAAGAGGTCAGAAAGGAAAACTTCAAAGGCTTGAGTTTTGTTTTAAGAAAGCAACGACAAAAAGCAGCGGTGTGCTTTTTCTTACACCGACTGGCTGCTTTCATGCAGCTACAGAAGTCCCTTTTGTCGCGCGCTGGTGGCGGTGTCCCCGTACACGTGCCATCGTGCTGCGTTCGTGTGGAAGGGACGGCCAAAGTAGCTTGGATGCAGATGTCCCGCAGCGCCAAAAGAAGTTCACTGCATGAAAAGCAAACAGCCTATTCAGGAGACAATGCTTAATATGTTCAGGAGCCTGAACCCATTGTTGTTCTGCAACGGAATAAAAGTGGGGGATTAATTTGCAGATGCTTGTGCATGACATATGGTAATTTCTCTATAGGAAGGAAGTGTCAGAGAGTGCCCTGTAAATCCCCGCCTTGACCTCTGGTTGTGGCATGTGTATGCCATAAGGTCTGCGCAGCTTTTCATGTGATAATGTTAAGTAATGAGCATTAGTGGGAGCCTAATGTTTAGAACTGCTTTTAAATTACGTTTGCACCGAGAAATTACGCAGCTCACAACGTAAGTACGTCACGGCTCTGGCTTTGAGGACATGCTTGACCTGTGCTCTTTTGTGTTTGCTTCCCTGTAGTCTTAGCAGCGTGGTTTATATGCTGCTGCTTTATGTTCCTAGTCCTTTCTTTTGTTCAGGTTTAAACTTCTCTGAATGGACACGTTTCAAATGGAACTACATTCAAACTAGCCAGCAGTGATACATCCTATGGCATTTTAGTAGAACAGGTGGGACAACCCAGGTTTAAAAGGGGCTATTTTGAAATTACTTTTTTAATCTGTAGTCCAAATTCCAAATCTATCTAGAGATGGGGAAAATCAAGAACAAAAGTGAAACTCCTGGTTTTAAACTCCTAGTCAACCGTTATGCCAAACCAAATCCCAGCTTTCTAAGGTCATACTTGGATTTATTTATTTTTTTTTACTTACAGGTACTTTCTTTTCAAAACACACAAGTTTATGTTGGTGTATCTGTGTTTCTCTGCGGTTGCATGTCTTCCTCTCACTGACATTGCACTTCTTGTACAGCCTAGAGAGTTTTTTTAAGTTGAGTATTATCACCGTTTCCTCCAGTTTTGTTTGTCATTCTTCAGTGATACTAATCTGTTTTCCAGAAGCTGCTATCCTCACTCTCCGATTTTTTTCTCTTTATTTCTTCTTCTTTCCTCTGCAAGTTGCTCCTGCTGTTTCTTCTAGCACTGAAGCTGGTCACTCTGGCTCTGACACTGCTCCTACTTTACATACCTGTTTCTTAGTAAATGAAGGTATTCTTTCCTCATTTTTTCTATCTATTTGTCTTTTGCTTTCGACTAATGTCCTTTATCATTGTTACGACATGACTTTAGTTTGGTCTGTGTAGATATTTTTCTTTGCTAGATACGGAGGCAGTGGGGTTATTTCTGTGTTCTTTGCCATTAATGCTGGCAGAGGGTGAGTAGATCTGGTTTGTCTGTCCCGGGCTTCCTTTCTCTTCAGTTCTCAACCGCTGTATCAAAGGTTGCATTTCAGATCCTGTTTGGTTTTGCTGTTGCCTTTGGAGGAAAAAGCCTAAGACCCTTTTTAAGTAGGGAAAATAGAAATGCCTTTTCCCCCTGCTGAGGTATGAATGAAAGAAGCTGCACTCCGTGTGGTTTGTATTCCGTTTGGGTGACATTTCCCATCTCCCTTGTGGACGTAGCTGCTGCTGCTTGGTCCGAAGGATCAGCCCTGTCTGGAGCCTTGAAGGGTCCCTTCTGGTACGAGCACGTGGCACTCCTCTGCTTTGGGGACGAGCGAGCAACAGCATTTTGTAGTTCACGTTGCAAACCAAAAGGCTGAAAAAATGTCACGGTCCTTTAGGAAAGAGAAACAAAATCATTGCAAGTCACTTACATTTTGGTTTATGAAAACATGAATGATTTAGTCAAACTACTTGGGGTTTGCGTTTGTTGGTTTGTTTCTTCTAATAAATGTTTATTTACGTAGTGAAGAATGCCTTCCTGACCCAAAGATTGGCACAAAAAACAAACAAACAATCAGAAATCAGAAACCAAACAGAAACCAACCCCTTGTATCACTGCTTAAGCCTTTGTTTTAATGCCTTTTATTGCCAAGCCATAAATTTGCGCTTTCACGCAGGAGTTTCAAGTATGAAATGATTTCTTGTAGCGTCAGGAAGAGCTTTATTCGTTAAAACATTTAGGTTTTTATGTTCGCAATTGCTGACAAATTAAAAATATAGATCTATGTGCTTGCCTGAAGTACTTCTCAGGTTTATCAAGTCAATGTAGAGCAGAATGCTACAAGATTTCTTTGTGTAAAGTACATCACAAGCATTTTTATGATCCGTGTCATTTGAGCTTGATATGCTCCCCCGTACAGTTTGTAACTACGTAATGTCACAGCTTTACAGTAGGAGTATACTTGAGGTAAGCTCGTTCGAGTAAGGTTTAGATGGGAAGACGAGGAGGGCAGACAAACGCGTGCTTTTCTGCATTTGCACACCTTTTAAAATGGGCCAGAAAAGTCTATAATCTTTCAAGTGGTAACTCATGCGCGGAGTGTTTTGTAACTGGATTATAAAACTGAATTAAAGTTGCATGTAGGGCGTTGTGTAAAATAATGGCAATTATTGTTTGAACAGATCACTTAAATTAGTCCTGTGCTCAGCGCTCATGCTGAGAGCATTTTGTGTGCAGTGTTGGGCATACTCTGAAGGTTGCAAGCTGACAATCCAAGCCTGTGACTGGGCAGCGTTACTCTTCTGAAGTCTTTTTGTGAGGGAATGGGGAGAAAGAGGGACATTTGTCTCAAACCAATCCTAATTAAACACAACCTCCTGCTGGCGTGGAGCTCTGAGCAGCTCTCTGGGGCACACGGTCAGTCCCGGAGGAGCTCCTCGTATCCCCTCATGGCACAGGGGGCACGTGCAGTGCCTGGGGGTCCGGCTGCAGAAGGGAGAAATCTCTCATTCTGCTGCAAAATTGTTCTTTTTATTTGTTTCCCTTCTTTCTCCCACCTTCTCCTGAAGACTTAACGCGTACCAGGCCAGTTGCCGATGTGAATTTACTTTCTTGCATTTTATACGCGGTATCTGCCTGGTGTTACTGCCTTCACCTCGCCGTCCTGCCGTGTTTTCCCAGGTTGGAGCCAGCTGGCTGCCATGCACTGCGTGATGCTCCCCGACCTGCTGGGGCTGGACAAGTTCCGACCTCCTCTCCTGGAGATGCTGGCCCGCCGCTGGCAGGACCGCTGCCTGGAGGTGATTTCTCTAGTTTGGGGCTGGGGATAGCTGCTCTTCCTGCCTCTAGTCAGTGCTCAATTCTAAAAGTCCAAACTTGAGTGCTCAAATAGCAGTCCACCTTCTCAAATCTTACTTTTGAGGGGCTTGGTTGGCCCAGGCAGGCCCCAGCACCCCGCTGCTGCCCCTGCCCTGCTGACAGCAGGGACCTGTGAGGACCCCGCTGGCCACTGGGCGTCATCCTGCTGCTGCTGGAAAGGGCAGGGTGGCCAGATTTATGGGAGTAGAGGTTTACGGAGCAGAGATTTATGAGAGTAAACCACCAGAAAACCCACTGGAAAGGCTCAGTCACCCAGCACCAGGAGCTCCACGCACCGCCAGGGGCACCTGGGGAGAAAGGAGTGGGGGATTTGCTAGGAAGAGCAGCAGAAACAACCCATATCTTGCAAACAAAATTAAGTATTTGAACCTTTAGTTATTTTTTTTTGTTTATTTATGCAAACAGCTTTATACAACTCTTATGTGGCGTTGTCTTTTATTAAGCACATTTCTCCTCGATATAAAAAGTTACCGATTCCTTTTGACGCAAGATCCTGGAGTTGTTTGCTGCAGATTCAGGAGGGCAGTTTTCCAGCTAACCTGTCAAAACGTTGAAAAAGTGATCGTGTCTCTATATTTTTGTAGCTTCTGTGTGGCATATGGTAGAAACACATGCTGTACATATTTTTTTAAAAAGAAATTACTGGATTAAAAATTTCTAGGATTCCATTATGAATCTCGTTGGGATCAAAAAACTATTTTTTTTTCCCGAGACTGCTGAGTTGCCTTATTTTTTGGAGCGTGTATACAGTAGTCAGTAAGTGGTTTGTCACCCAACTATTTGATAAATGACTAGCGGGCCTTAACGCTACACCTATGCTGCTCTGGCAAAAATTTTGTTGACTGTGCAGCTTTCAAAGAAGGCAAGGAGGAACGGAGCTGGATTAGGGGCTGTAGGTCTTCAGCAGCCATGTGACTGAATTGGGAATATGGTTTCTGCTACCTGGGTGCCTGTTCTTTGGCTAGGTAGGGTGTACTTTGAGATGGTTTCCCAAGAGGTAATTAGTTTGAAGCTAATTAGAATTTGAAGCCCAGTTACTGGATAGCCTCAGGTGTCAAGTTAGTGTATTGCTATTCCCTGCTTGCCCACAGTTTTTTGATCAAGTCACTTAACTTCCTTGTGTTTAAAAGCCTTTAGACCAAAAAGTCAGGTATTTATAAATGCAGTGAAATCCTCAGGTAGAACACATGGGATTTTGATGGGGGACAAATAGTACATGACAGTATTTTGTATTTCTTGGTGTAAAAAGCTGGACTTTTAATTTTAGAAAACTTTTTTTTATATTTATTCACCTGTGGTTTCATTGTTCAGTCTTCCATGCTACACAGCAGATCTGTGTATCCCATTTGGAAAACTGGTTTTAGGTGATTTTTATCTTCTACTATATTCCAACATCCACCTGTGATATTTAGAAAAAATACTGATTCCTTGTGTACCTTGGAATTCTGGTGGACGTTTTTGGAAATGTTTAGAGAAGGGTGAACACAAATTACTCCTAGAAAACTAGAATTTTGGTGGTTATTTTGCTTTTGTATTTAAGTAGGAGTGGGGAAAAATGTGGGTTTTCTGGAAGCTTAGTTCAGTTTTCTATTCTATATGAGTTGCTTTTTTTTTTTTCTTTAAGCGATGCTTTTTGTTGTTCTGGCTAAATTATACTGATAGCATCTTGATAAATATTTGATGTTTGAGTTTGTGTGATTTTTCCGGTTGGTTTTATAGGTAAGAGAAGCTGCCCAGGCCTTATTGTTAGCAGAACTGAGAAGAATCGAGCAGGCAGGTCGGAAGGAGACAATTGATGCGTGGGCTCCGTATTTGCCACAGTACATTGACAGTGTTATATCACGTAAGTAACCCTGTCTTTAATCTGAAAACAAGTGGTTGCTAGATAAAGGCCAAAAAAAAAAAAGGAATTTCATAAACAAATTGATGAACGCTACTACAAAAAAATGCATTTGGGCTATATATAACAGTTTTAGGAAATTTTCAAAGTAATTTCACAATCGTGAAATTGCTCGAAGATCCCTAGTGCTGATCAGGTAAACAGAACATTTCAGGACGTGTCATTGGGAATGGAGTGCCCTCTGCAAAGGCAATCCATGCTGCTGAGGGGCTAGGCTGCAGCTGGTAGGTTTCAGGGAAGAAATCTACTATGAAAAGGGCTGAAAAAATTACAAGGTACTGGTGGTAAAACACAGACTTTTTTTTTTCCAAGGACTCTATAATAAAATCATAGAAATGGCTATAAAGGGATCCTTTGGTATCCCCAAAGTATCGAAGGATGCTGAAAGGAGCTAATGCAGGAAATGTCCATCAGCATCTGCTTGGCGTCTGACGTGCCTCCAGCCCAGCTGGGTGTTCAGAAACATTGATTACCAGGCGCTGCAAGGAGACATCAGGTAGAGATGGTAGAACAGTTATCGAGGATTCATTAGGCAGTAATTTATGGTGATGGTTAATCAGGTGAGCATGAGATTACAGAGCTTCCTTTGGTACCGAAACATAGAGCACTTCATAAAAGTCTAAAACTAAAAGTTGATGGGCTTTGGGGTGTTAGAAGCTCAAGCTGGTTTTGCAAAGTGCGTGTAGTGCGCAGAAGCAACAGAGATGTGTCTTGCAATGCTCTGCCAAGATGTCTTAAATCGTCCCAGAAGTATATCAAGAATGAGAGCTGTTCCTTTTTCATCTCTCTTGCAATTTGTAAAAATGCAAGAGAATTTAAAAATGAAATTTGTTAATTTTAAAAAACAGTTTCATGCAGGCCTCTGCATAGTGGTTTTTTGGTAACTGGCTGTTCCCGCTAACCTTCTGACTTAGTGTAGATTATATATGCTATTACCTATTCTTTTGAATCACTACTTCGATTATTTAATGTGGTTTTAAGAGAAAAGAGTGTTTTTCATAGCAATTGTTTTCTAACATCTTCATGTCCTTGCTTCTTTTTTGTATTAGTTGATTGGGTGTTAACTGAACAAATCAAATGCATTAAAGTAATACAAATTAAAAATCTTAAAACTGTCAGATGAAACAATTCGTAGTTTTGTGTGATTATGGACCTAACTGGGTTTCTCTTAAAAATCAGCCGATCCCTTTTGATGAAATGCTGTCCATTAAAGCATTGCACTTGTAAGCGGAATGAGACAGGGAATTTCTCTTAAATACTTTACTTGCAACCTGTGAAAATCGCTTGCATTTCTGAATGATTGGCCTTATTTGGAACAGTTGGTTGACGGGCAGAGAAGGGTTTTAACAGAATTTAGTATTATCAAGGGCGCATAAGTCTTCTGTGTGCCTTGAGCCACTACATGCAAATACGTATTTACCAAAACATCAGGCTTCTGACTGTAACTGTGCACGTATGTCTTGAATTAATACTGTGATATGCAATATAATCTTCCTTCTCAAAATAAAATCAATCGTTACTGACCACTGTTTAAACTGCTGTGTTTTTCTCCAGAACTGCTATTTTCATTTTATTTGTTGATAATAAAGCAGAGATTGTCCAGGCTCTAAGAATCTATTCTTGGAAGATGCGTCAGCGTCATAAGATACTCCCTTCAGTTATCTGCCTAGGAACTTGCATTTATAGAACAATGACACAATATAAAGATACAAAGAGATATAAACACACCTGCCATACATAACAAAGCAGTAAAAAAATTATAGTTTAATGGATGAGAATGTTTGCTTTTAAGTAGTAGGCATTCATTTTCCTGAAGATGTGCTTCTTTCTCCGCTGAAGAATGTTGTTTCTATTCAGGGAAGGATCTCTATTAAATACCAATTGATTTTTGAGAGATGTGTAATAATCTTATTAAATCTAAATTGAATGCATAAATTACATGGAACACGCTGTTTTCAGGTGATGTTCAGAATTTGCTGGTGAGGCTAAGCTGTTGTTAATTACAGCCTTTAGCCATGTAGCGGTTGCCTTATTACAGGGATGTTGTTGCGCAGTTAGGCGTGCAGCCAGGCAGCGAGTAAGAAGTGTTGTATGGACATGCCAGAGAGCCTCCATCCGTGCTGCCAGATATTTGTGCCATTCGGTACGTTAGGGTTTATTTTCTAATTGATCCTTTTCTGAGGTCAGTTGTACTCTGTTCATAGAATACAGTTCCGAAAAAGGACCTTCTGTTTAAGGTACTTGAAAGCAACTGGTAATTCATACTAATTCCAATCCTTGTGCCGTTTCTGGTCCTCCTCCTTACTTAAACACTTCCATTGGAAAGCGTGAGCAGAGTGTGCAGCCCTATTTTGCATGCACATCAGCTGGGAGCGTAATACTTTGTTCTGCCTCTCATGTTCAGGCCACAGGTAAGGCATTTGATTTTTGTGTAGCCATTTAATAGCTAGGGGCTGACTGGTTTAAAAATAACTCCAGTGTTTTGTATGTATTCAGTTCAAGTATGCATACAGCATACTTGGGATTTTACTAATTACTAAATTAGGATAAGCTTATCCATCAGAACCAACAAGAAGGTTTTAAAGCAGGGAAAAAATAGAGAAATCAGCTGAGGAGTACGGCTGAATGAATGACTGGAATGTAAATGTTCAATATTGTTAAGGCACTGATATTGAAAAGCTGTAAAACAGATGATGAGTAGCAAATTGGAATTCATTTATTTTATATTAGCAGTGTTGAAAACTATGTAACTTGAACCAAGTTTGTGCCTCTCCTGAATAGCAGGGCAGAGATGGCATTTAATAGTGTTATTGTCTGCGAGAGCTACACAAAGATGCTGACATCCTGAAGAGGAATAATAATTGTGGTATCAGAAAGGAGAAATGAAATAATTAAGGAACTAAAAAACTTGCTCTTGTGGGTAGCGAGTGAAGTATACAGATGTGTCCTTAGTTCTAATATAGGACTTGCTAAAAGAGAATACCTTTTTAAAAAGGTCTGGGGAGGAATTGAAGGGGATAAAAATAATTTAAATGGCCAAAATGGTTGCAGTGGATTTCTGAAAAGCATAGTTTTATGATAGAAAGGCAAGCAGCAGAAATATGATAGATCAAGAAATACCACTTTGTTTCTTTCATCATCCACTTCTCCCTAACTCCCCTCTTAATAAAGGAGCATAAAATATTATCAGCATGTTTGTGCCTAGCACATCTCACTGCTTTACAATAATTCTTATATTCATTTTATTTTTACATTCTAATTTTGCTTTTTTTTTTTTTTTGGACATAGCAGGTTCCTTTTTAATTGAAACAAATGCTAATTACTAATAGAAGCTTGCTGCTGATATGATACTTAGTCATCTGCGCTTAATTGACTCTTGAATGTCTCCAGTGTGTGGTACTAGCAAACAGAGATGAAATCTTTTCCCCATTTGTATATTCAGCGCACAGATCCAATAACAGTTTGGAACATGACCTTACTCAGCAAGATCAAGCCAACTCTCGTGTCTCCCAGCTTTTTGATGAAATGTGTTTGGGAACTTGAAAGGCAAATTTGCACTGGATTATCTTTAAATAATCTTTTAACTAATGCAAGAGAGAGTCTTGTGAACAATAGAGGTTCAGATTGTCGAACTTTTGTTCCAGTCACACTGCCAGCTACTTCAACGAAAAAGTACGTGCTCGGCCAGCTTTTATTCCCATACCTGCTTTTGCATTTTGATGAACACAGAAAAATGTGAGCTGGTACCCCGGTGCATATTGAATATGGCATCTTAGGAAACAGTTTCATCAAAATTATTTAATTCAGATTTATTTTTATTTTTTTTTACAATGTATGGTAACATTTGCTGAAACAATAACTAAGGCTTCATATTTACTAACATTTCTAATTTTTTTCTTATGTTCTCAAGGCTTCATTTTTCTATCACTGCTTGGTAGTTACACAATAAAAACGCAAGGTTTTTTTTCTAATACTGTGTTTTTAATCAGTTTGCATAGATTTATGCATGCAATTTGTATCTGATGTTCCCTAACAACCTGATGATCAGCTGAAAGTGTTAGGATTGAGTATGATTAAGGTCTCTGTACCTCTGTTGTGATTTTATTCTGCAGTTTTTCATCTCACAGGTATATTACTCTAAGAAGACTTCTCTTTGTTTTGCTTTACATCTGTCAGATTGTCTCATTTTCCATTAGATTTTATAAGTTTGTTTACCAGTTAATAGTTTAACAGCTCTACACTGTACAGTAATTGATTCTTCTTAAAATGCTACAATTTTTTTTTATCCTCTAAATTGCTTGTTTGATATGAATAGTCTTTAAAATGACATAGGAGACTTGATGGAGTAATAACATGTTCCTGTAGATCTATTACAGTCATTATAGCGCTGGAAAGTGCATTTAGTAGTTCTAAAGCCTTTTTACTTTTAAGCTCCACCAGAATATGTTAATTTGAAGACTCTGCCGCATCCTATGTTGCCTTCTGCAGCAGTGCTTGAATCATTTAAATACATGCTGAGGCATGGCAGAGGATGGAGGGGGTCTTAGTCGTGCTTCTGTATCCATGTTAAAGGCAGTAGTTGCATCTGTAATGAAGATTTGGGGGAGTAGCTGACTATACAATTTCATTAAGTCTTCTTATGAAAAAAAGAAATTGCCTATTTTTCATGAAAATAAGCCTTGTACTAGTAAGGTGGTGACACAGAAGACTGTGCATGGTGTCCTCTATTCATATTTCTCCCTTCCCAGCTCCATCTTGGGTTGAAACATGACATAGGTGGTCTAAATGTACTCAGATATCTCACAGTCAGTGCAAATGGGCAAATACAAATTAGAGAAGAGAAAGATGGTTTTGTGGGGAATGGGACAGGACACTGAAACAAGCAAGCCTTAAAATCTGTTATTTCCTGCTGCATCTAGTTATTTATTCGTTTGACAGTGGTGAGCCATCAGATGAGGAACGGGGAAGTCTTGGATTAGAGATCAGTATCTTCTGATCTTTGACCACTGCCTGTTAAACATATTGCAAACAGTGCGAATGCCCTGCTGAATGTCAAATAACACCTCAGGTTTGTGTACACGCTGACACCAAACACAGAGCTGAAACCTGCGAGTGGTGGAGTTGTGGGAGTCACTGGGGGATGCTGGTTGTACACAGGGGACTGCAGCAGGCTGTGGTGCACCCACTTAGACTATATCCGGGACCTGTTTTACTTTTTAATTCTCTCTTTTTGGTGCTAATATTTTCTTAGGGTCAAGGGCTGTCACACATTAATAATGAGGAGTGTTAACTAACACCTGGCATGATTAGCATGTTTGGCAAGTAGTTAATTCAGAATTTTTATCCATCTGTAGCATACTACAAATTGTAATTAAATAATTTGGGTACTGAGATCGTGAGTGAGCAAGAAGCTGCTAAGGTGTCAGAAAGGAAATGTGCTAAATGCATGTTTAAAGGAAAGACGAGGAAAGCCAAGAACTGGAAATAGGCCTGGTTTGTAGCTGCCACCTGTGTGTTTCCTGCTCGTTTTGTGCAGATAAGGTGAGGTTTTTGAGGGGGAGCACACAAAGGGCCAGGGCAGGGTGTTTTGTTAGTGCCTGCTGGTGCAGGATGGGGTTTGTCAGTTTAAGCCTCCAAGAGATTTTGGTTTGTAACATACAGGCCAAGAGAACAAATTATTTATTCTATTTGGTGGGTGATGGATGGAGTGGTGGCTGCCCAGCCACGTCATCAGCTCAGCTCCGCAGAGTCCACCCCAGAGCCTCCTGCTGGAAGAGAACAAAAATAGTCCAGCCTTCGTCACGATGAAGTGTTCTTTTCGTAGGTGCATTAAAAAAGTTGTTGCTGTCCTGCAGGAAGACTTTTCGTCATCCTGGCCGAAAGGGGCTGCTTGGCTCAGTGTGCACCTATTTGCTGTGATGTCCCCTCCTTGCTCCTAAGCAGCCAGCTGGGATGTCTCAGGGAGAGACGAGGTCTGCAGGGGAAGCAGCAGCACCAGGTGGATTCCTTCTGAAGGCCAAGTTCCCGTTTCTGATGGAAAAGAGAAAGGGGAAGCCCTACAGTAAATCCAGAGCGTGTCGGGCACGTTGGGCACCGTTGCACAGCGCGGCCTAGGGCGAACGATGGATCTGTGTTTGATTTGGGCCTTCACACCCAAAATTGGCACATCAGCTCGTCGACCCCAAAAACATTAACAGATGCGTAGGCAGTGCCAAGAATTACTACTTGTGAGGTGGTTCAGCCGTGGGTGTTTTCCAGGCTCCCACACGGAGAACAGCTCAGCCCACCAAGCACCGAAGCAGCCATTTCGCGGGCTGCGTGCGCTGGAGCCCCCGAAATCTTGTGGCGGCGGGGAGACGGATGGATTTTTAACTATGTGATGGGACTGCAGATAGGGAAATGGTTGCTGTGTCTTTAACGGAAAGCAAAAGGTTATCTTGCCGTGGCCTTTGTGTGCCTGCGCTGATGTGGTGGAGGCAGCAGCCAGGCGCTGTGTGCGGAGGGGCCGGCAGCGGGCCGGGATCGATGGGAGCGGTGTGAAGGGAATTAATGCGAGGCAGGCAGGCTGCCTGTCAGCGGGGCAGCGCCGGGCACTCACTGCAGAAATCCGTTTTCAATAAATCCCGTCTAGAAATTAAGTAGAGACGCTCGGGTTGCTTCCCGTATTGCTACAGCCCCGCTCATCCAGGTAGGTGCTTGTAGCAAATGGGTGTTTCGTGGAAAGGGGAAATCCTAAATAACACAGTAGCATGAAATTAGAAAGCATTAAACTGCTCCAAATAATAATCCACATTATCCCCGGAAAACAAAACAAACATGGGAAGTCTATAAGAACAAATACTACGTCCGTTTTTATTAATATATTTCCGGTAGATATATCTCTCTGTTAGGAAGTTTTATTTAAAGCCAGATTAATTGAGTAAAACTTAATTAAACTTCCATTGATTTAAGTGGGAGTTTTCGTTGAGTAAGGATACTTTGATTGGGCCCCAAAGACTTGGCTATTTATACATCTGGTTGGTCATTCTGCTCGCGCAGGGTTTGACTTAACGGAGCACAAAGAATTAAACGCAGTGGATTTGCACTGCATCGTTTTGCTATATTAAATGAGCAGTTTTATGATGCTGCAGGAAAGAGTTGGGCATTTCTAAATGGTTTAAGTTTCTAATATGAGTGAATCTTGCCTAATTTTCCAGCGTTTCCTAGTATGTCAACTGGCTTATTTTTAATACATTCCATTTTTATGACCTTTTTACTTCTAAAACCTGTTTCTAAGACAATTTTTGGTAATTTTTGATGAATTATGTAGAAGGCATTTGTGTCTAAGAAGACGTGTTCCTTCTTACTAGATTTTCTTTGAAAGGAAGCAATAATTTATTGCCTGAATTCTTTTTGTAACTGTTATTTTTCTCCCCTTTTGTTTTTTTGTTTTTTTGGGGGGGGGAATGTTTACTTAAACAGAACGTTTGCGCTTAACATTTTATTTTAATTGTATATAATTGTAATAGACTTGTAACTTTTCATTTGCTGAGCTTGGAACCAACTCAAGCAGGAAGGATGTAGCACATCTAATAGTAAAGTTCAGCCTCTTTTCAGTAACTCAGGGACAGAAAGCAATGAAAGAAGTGATGTAGTAACTCAAAAAATCAAAGGCTTTGAGTTTTGACCCAGCCCAAACTTACCTTTTAGGGACAGCTGGACCCTTGGCTCCTACTGACTGGAGTATTTAAGCCCAGAAAATGCACCCTCTGAGATGAAAGCTCATCAGTGGAGGCGTCACACTGCAGTTTTCAAAAGGCATGGCAACTCTGTACCCTTCTCTGCGTGTGGAAGGAAATCAAAGAATTTTAGACTATGGAAGCGATATTTAGGAAGCAGCTGTATGCTTGCCGTGCCTGCGGAGATTACCAGCTCCTCGTGCCAGCTTCTTACTGAAGCTGGTAAGGACCACGCCGGGTGATACCCAGGAGCTGTAGCAGCTGCAGCGTGCATTAAACTCCGTTTTTACAGGTGTCCTGAGTAAGGTTGATGTGCAATTTGTAATTGCGTGTGATCTCGGCGCAGTCCTGCCAGCATGCTTAATGAAGTGCTAGGCTATTGATTGGCAGCGTGTCCCAGCCTGGCTTTACAGTTGTTGTCACTGCTTTTATGTGTGTTGACATAACGAGAAGGACGGTTGGGAAGTTACTAAAAGGGACTGGTTTCTCCCTATATAAAGAGGTAATGTCAGAATAAAAGTTAGAACAGGAATTGCTGTTCATCTTCCCAAAGGCAAACTCATTTCCTGAGACTTCACCTCTTGTTGAGGTTTGGTGGTGCTGACAAAGGGCTGTGGCCCTCTTTTTAAATGGGGACTTAATGCCTCTGTAGCTGGCAAACCCAACGCCGCAATCAGTCGGGCAGCAATCTCTTCATAGAATAAGATTTTTGATAGTATAGGCTGACAGAAAGGGTGTCAGGGGGGAAAGCAATCTTATCAGGGCTTCTCGTCAGGCTGCTCTTTGCGCCTTCCTAAAGCTCTTTGGGCAGACTATTTGTGAGGCTGTACTTCTTCACCCCTAGCAAAACGCTTCTTTTGATAACTGCCTTGATTGAATCGTGGTAAGGGCTGGAAGGGACTAATTAAAGATTATAGCCAGGCAGCCTACAAAGCAGGTGAATTCCAGCTTGAACCACGTGCTGCTGGGACGCGGCACAATTTGGTGTCTGTAACGTAGTTTCCAGCAGCAATTAAGTGCTGCAGCACAGCCAAAATGATGTGGAAGGGCTCAGATGGGTGAGCGTAGTCTGCAGGTGGTGTGGAAGCAGCCCTGTGGCGTATCTTGGGTTTTTGGCTAAAGATTTCAGTGTGTCTGTGTGTCTGATATTTTTAATTGTGCTAGAAGATGCCGTAAAAAGAAGAAAATCGGAGAGATTTACCTTGGGGAAAAGGCTTTTAAGGGGTAGGTTTGTGAAAACCGCACAGAGCGCTAAGGGAAGTCAGAACCTGGTTGCTCTTTGCTTTATCTGTTTCATAGCATTACCTTGAGTCAGGAGGTAATGTGGTTGTTTTTTCCTAATGGAAGGGTGTTATCTACCCCAATCACTGACTTTTGTGGCTGTTTGCTGTTATTTTTTCAGCTGGAGTAACCACGGAAGCCATTCAGACCGCTACGGCAAGCCCAGATGCGTTGGGAACAGAGGCAAAAGTCCAAGAAGAGGAGCACGATCTGGTTGATGACGACATCACAGCAGGTGAGCACCGCCCCAATGAATATTTTTTGACATACTAGGTACCGTGCAGAAGGGATGCAACGCTTCCTGCAATTTTTCCTTACTTTTCATGAGAAAATGGAGTACATGCTATTAGAAATACAATGAAGTTATTCAAAAGGAAAAAAATCAGAGCTCTAGGCAAAAACTAAATACCTGCTTAACTGTAGCTACTGTACTATTAACATGTTGCTACTGCAAAATGTTCTCTGTATTTCAGTGTATTTGGGGGTTTTTAGTCTGCTTGCGACTGACATGTTTAGCTTGTTCCTGCAGAACAAAGGTTGGTTCTTCAGTTATCCCTTAAACAATTTACCTTGGTGAAAAATCTGATGCAAGGGTGCTACCACCATAGTCTGCTTCATCGAACTGAGGTTTTCAGCACCAAAGAGCTGTTAGTTTGTCACGCACAGAATTCAGTGGTTCAGTTCTAGAACTACCAATACAGCTTTTGCCATTGTTGGAGTTCATTATAATCCGGCAGATAGAGTTGCGAGTTGTGGTCCCTCAGGGCATATTGCGAAATGACAGACCACACAAAAATATGCATTTAATTATAAGCAGGTTATCTTTTGATTTGGTTTTTCACGCTTATTTATGCGGTGCCATAAGGAAAATATCTGTGTGCTCAATATCAATCTCCTCAGCATCTGAATGACTCCAGCACGTATTTTAGCATAGCACACTGCAGATTATAGAGCACAAAAGCTATCTTTTTTGACTGAGCTTTTTATAGATTTTTGTGAAAGTCTGAAAGAAAACTATTTATTTCTATTGACCAGAAGACAGTTAGTATGACAGATCGAGTTTTGGGTCAGGCCTCTGGTTGAAGGTGACTGAGACAAGATTCCTGCTGGTGGAAGAACAAACTGCTTGGAACAGGGAGTATTAACACCAGCTATTTGTAAAAAGCTAACAGGAAATAGTCAAAGGGGAGGGAGAATGCTGGGGGTGCCTTAAGTGGCTGGGGGAAGGTGCAGGATTCATCAGGAAACAACAGTGAATAAAGGCTGAAAAAAATGGAAATAAAAATATGGAGGGGAAAAAAAAAGAAAATATAGAAATTAATGAATAGGCTCCAGGTAGCCTGGAACACAGATCTTCCCAGGACGTCCAATACATCAGTGGTTCTTTCAGAAACGTAGCAGGAAAGAGAATGGAAGCAGGGTGCTTTAATGGAGGAACTTCCAAGTGATGTGCATTTTCTTCCTACGCTCTAGACTCTTTAAGTTCTGAGCTTTTCAGAAAGCTGTCTGCTATGTTGCTTGAATCTGGAGCTAGTAACCGTTTCTTTACAGAGAAAATACTGTTGTTAAAAGGAATCGAGCTTTAAAAGATATATCCCAAGATGAAATTTTAGTCAACAATTGAATACAACTGTTAGTGTTTGAAGAATATTAAAAAAAAAAAAAGTTATAATTCAGATAATTTAAGCTTCACCTAGTTATCTTAAAATATGATGCAGCTTCTTTCTGTAGTGGTCCTCTTAAGGCTAATATTTATTGATTTGACTGCACAGAGTAATACTGGCGTGCAGTGGTCAACAGGATATTTTTTTCCAATTCGAATTGGGATTTACCAAATGCCTTCATTTGCCCAAAATCATTTTTTAAAAGGCTCGTTTTCACATCAGTACTTATATATTATACTGATATATTCTGATAATTCTAGCAGCTGCGGTGGTGTGCATGCAGAAAGTTATATAGCAAATAAAAGCTGGGTTTTATACTGATAACGTTTGTCAGCTTGAAAGTTTAATCTTTCAAATCTTTTCCTTCAATATTTCTAAATCTATTTTCTTGTGTAATGATTAGTACTTTTAGCAATAATTATCCGCTAACTTGTGAATTCAGAAGCAAGAAATATTGCTGGATTAAGCCATATTCTGAAATGAAAATGGCTCTCGCATCAGCAACAATATTTGCCTGTATTATCTTAATGATTCAGCAATGAATCACTGTGATTTTTTTGATTTATCTTTTATCTGAACGCACCATCACTGCCGTTGAAATGCAGCAGTACATGCAGTGTGTTTGCAGAAATTTCCACCATATTTCTAGTAACACTTATTTTACCCCCAATATCTAGATATTCTGATGTTGGTGGCATCTAACTACTTTAAATATTTTTAATTTCTAGGTGAAGTATTATTTTTCGCTATAGAGCATGACAATTTTTTAATTTGAAGGCGACCACTGTAATGAAAGAAAAATATTTCACCTGCTTTTTTTTTTTTTTTTGCTGTTGTTGTTTTTTCTTATTGTTATTTTTATCGCTGCATTGAGTTTCTGGGCTGCTCTGGTGGTTTCTCTGCCTTCTCTCCCCTCATTTTGGACTGGACATGGAAGCAGCAGGGACAGGTGCCGCTGCCCAGTGCTTCCCTCCCCTCGGCAGCCAGGCTTCCACTGCAAATTTGGTGTGAAGTGGAGGTGCACAACAAATGCAACCATCTGCCAGCCCCAGCGAACAAGCCAGTGGCCCACTGTTCAGCACAATGAGGGTGCCAAAAGAGTCAGGCTCCGGATAAAGTTCCTGCTGGGCTGCTTTTAAGTAGGTTAGGCCAAACCTGAGCACCTTCTACAAACCCTGTCACATAGGTTTTTGCATCTCCAAAGCCCACCACAGAGAGATCAAAGAAGCTTTTAATTTGTGTTTAGTAACTCACTGGAAAGCCATCCACCATATCCTGCGCTGACTATTGTGTAAAACACCAGAAAAATTAGATTTTATCAGCTAAAACAAACCTCGTCCCTTTCAGATGCTAATTAAGAAAACAGAGAAAACACACACACATCTCTCTCACTTGATCTTTTCTGTTACAAATAAAATGTGCAGATAGGAGTTAGTTAACATGTGGGTGCTAATTTTTAATGGAGTTTTTTGTGTACTAACAGGAATTTTGAAGCACTTTGAGAAAGGTGCTTGATGGATAATTGGAGAAAAAGTTAATCAAGAATCTAGTTCCCTCCGGTTTGTCATTAGCTGTCTACAAGAAAGCATGAAACTGTAGGTAAAATACTTTTAAAAAGAGCACTTTATTTAATTGTAGGGAAGGTAGCTCACGGAGAAGCGCAGGGTTTTTCAGCAGAGCTGCACGCCTTTGAAAAGACGTGGGCATCTGCCACTGAAGCAGATGTCACCAGTAAACGCCAGTGGGAAATCTGTTCCCTGCGAGGGGGCTGCGGGCTGGACATCTGTCGGAATGGCAGATGTCAGAGCTGGGGCAGTGCTGCGGCTGCTCCCGAAGTGCCAGCCCAGGAGAACTGCTCTGTTCAGGCTTTCGGGGTTCCTCGTTGCTGGAAGAAGCATGCAGCAGGGTGTTTAGAAAGATAACTTCATTTAATTGGGAATACTTCTTGGTGTCTGTCTTTATCTGATGCACAGCTTTACGCTAAGCATCACAGAGTGTAACTAACTAGCATCAGTCCTTGTGCATCTTTTTTTTTTTATTTTTTGTGTGTGAAATTGGGAAGCATTCAGCATCACTGTCTGCATTATACATCAGCACTTTGTAAAAATCAATCTGGGGCTCGTCTGAAATCTTTTGTCTGTCCCGGTGGCAGATGTCTTCTTCCAGCTCTGCGCAGCCTCCCTTTGTGCTGTCGTTACTTCGGAAAACGTTATTAACTTGGGGAAAGTTAGCTCGCAGTGTCTTAGTCAAACATTTATACCTTCATTGTGTCCTTCTGACTGCTCGTCTTCTCTCAGTGGCGGTAGGTAGAAATCCTTCAACTTGATGCTTTTGTTAATTTAAGTAAAGATTTAGGAGAGATTGTTACAGTCAAAAGAAAAAAATACTTAGAATAATCTGTACAGACGTAGAAGTGGGGTTTTAAGGAGGCAGAGGTCACCCAGCGATGAGCAGCTCAGGCTCAGGCTTCCCTTGACCCACCTGGGGAGGTTTCAGCCTGGTTGCATGTGCGGAGCATTACAGTGCTGGCAAGGTTTAGCTGTCTTGGGGCAAGTTTGCTCTAATCATGGACCAAATGCTGTTTTGGTGTTCAGGTGTGTGGTGTCCATCGCTCCTAGCAGCGTTTACCCGTGTAAATGAACCACGTGTCTGTGGGGGACTGCTCCTGGGAGCGCAGCCTTAAGGACCCTAGGAGTCAGGAATTTCCCTGTGGGCATTACTGTCCAAGAAGCTTGTGCTGGTTACTGTATGAGTCATTTATCTGGTGACCAAGATACCGTTAAATAGAGTATACTGCTGCTTTAATGTAGTATAGGTTGTGTATGAGACAGAGGTCATGAAGACCTCCAGGGATGGGGACCCTGGGCAGCCTGTGCAATACCTCACAACCCTTCCAGTAAAGAAATTTCTCCTAATACCCAACCTAAACCTCTCCTGGTGCAACTCAAGGCCATTTCCCTTTGTCTTATCACTTGGTGCTTGGGAGAAGAGCCCAATCCCCACCTCGCTACAGCCTGCTTTAAGGTAACTGAGCCTTCTTCTCTCCAAACTGAACAACCCCAGCTCCCTCAGCTGCTCCTCCTAAGACTTGTTCTCCAGACCCTTCACAGCTTCGTTGCCCTTCCAGAGGCCCCCACATCATCACTTTAAGACGCACTTGCTCTGTGCGCCGCTGGTGTGATTTTAATGCTGTATCGCCTCCTCTGACCTATTTTCCTCCTCGAAATAACAGGGTTTGTCTCAGCTCTAAGTAATAATGGTGGAATTTAAAACAAAACGACAAAAAAAAAAAAAGAGAAAATAATTCTCTCAGCTATCACAGGAGTAGCTACAGGCATCCAGTAGCACAGCAACCTACCTGCTGGGCACAGTGCTGGCCCGCAAGCATCACCTGTAAGTCTGCCTGGTGTGCCGGGGTGGGATCCCACACGTCCCCACAAATCCCCCCTCCTTCACCTTCCTGCCCCAGGACGGCTTTGTCTGCTCACCTGGGTGGGAGCAGACAAGTGGCACGAGTGGCAGTGCTTTTAGGAGCTTTTAAGTTCCGAAGACCCGTTCCTGTTGGTGCTGT